ACATGCTTTACAATGGCTACATCTGTTTTACTATTCTGGTTCGTCTTCTTTGTTAGGCATATTTTTAACTTCTCATCGTTCAGCGAGTTTTGTAAAAACGTTGAAAAGTTTACGTTTTGGCTTTTTACAATTCTTGCCTCCCTTGCTTTCATCATAACCTATCTTTTTTTTTTCATTTGGAAAATCCTAAAAATTATAAAAGAACTAATTGAACTTACTAGAATAGACTTATCGAGTTATTTATTATTTCCAATTTATAAATTAAGAAGAACCAAAAATATGTTTTCCTTTTGAGTCTACAAATTGTAACTACTATGCATGATTAATCAAAAAGAAAAAACTGATAATTTCATATCTTACTTTTTTCTTTTTTTTTTTGATGCTGGCTCGTCAAAGTTTTCAAATATATTATCAGCCTCATTGAAATCAGAACTAGACGGCGTCATTTGTTATGTTGTTATCTTTTTCATCAATTTAAAATAATTTGAAATGCAATTTTTAGGCTTATTTAAAGCATATTTGGAGGTGGTGATTAACAATATTTCTAAGTATTGAGACAAAATCTTTTAGTGCTTGAATTTGATTCGAACTATAAAAAAATATCTAATATATCAAATATAACCACTAATCCTTTTTGAAGCAAACTACCTCTGCAACATGGATGTACATTGGTGGTTGGTGGCACCCGGACCAAATGTAGCTGCGGCGCCCTCCTCCCTCCACTAATATTTGCGTATATAAACTTTTTGTGTAATAATTTAATACTTACACCACCTACCAATCTGCCATAATAATAAATATATACGCATTTGACTCAAGAATTGTTATAAGTTAAGGAAATCAAATAGTTTAAAAATTTAATTCTAAATGAAAACTTAAATTACTGATAAATAGGTAAATTTATAACGGTATTCTTTGAGATTTTTTTAAGAAAAATTGTTCAATAATTTTGCTAAGGTTGAGTTTTTTGCCTCTTCGTTTTCAATCAAGAGTATTGCAAAGCAACGCTAATCATTTTTCCGTCATGATTATACGTTGGTAAGTTTTATTTAACTTCAAATTGCTGAAACTACGTTCTCTTCAAGCCACTGTCACTGGAATTATCAGCAGTATGCGCAGGCTATCTACAAGTTAGTAATAAGGTCTACAGGTTAGTAATAAGGTCTTTTCTGTCGTGTTTTTTTATTATATTGAGTGGTTTTAGCGGTGATAGTGCATTATTGGCTACCTTCTGCTTGTGCTCACACCATTTGTCAAAAATATTAGTTGTCAAACTGACGTGTAGAATTTTCATTATACAGTTCTTCCCCATTTATATCTGAAATGTTATTCACAGTCAGGTGTACTCGTAACTTTTTATAATAATCTTTAAGTTTGTTCTTTGGTGGTAGTTTTTTCAGGTTAATTAGGAATCCTTACATTATGCCTCTGTATACTTTGACTCTTGACTATAGAGAGCTTGTCTATTCTGTCTTTTAAAGATTGTCTCAACGAGGGGCAAGAAAACTTCATCAGGGAAATGACCAACGCTTGATTAATGCCAAAAAAAATGTATAGGTTCTTTGAATAATTCCAAACAACAATATCTACTTCACCAATGATTCAAATCTGACTGATATAACTACGTTCATGCTCCGCGAACCACAGTGTGTAAATAAGGCTTGTGTTTATTTCTTCAATTAGATGGTTAGAATGAGCTTTACGAGTCTCGACTTTTTTACACACTACATATCCAATCAAGCTTCTTGGAAAATAACTATTGCTTCCTTTTCTTCATGAACATAGCGGATGGCTAAAGTAGTTTGGCCTTTGTGACGAAGATCTGGAGTACAACCCATAATAACTAAGAAATACTTTCCAAAATTTACCTTGTTCACAATAGCTTCTTTTATATGCGAAGCTAAAAGGTTAATGACCTCGTTTTGAATATCGACGTCGTAAGATAAGAACCTGCAAGTGTCACTTCTGTGCAAAACATCTGCTGAAATTGTGATACTATAATCTGTTTTAACCATTATAGGCTTTATACATTAAGGTTCTTTGATGCTTCCTGAGATTTTTGTCCAAGAATGAAGTTGATAAACATGTGGCAAAACTAACTGAAGAAGTTGAACAACACAACAAAAGGTTACTCACATCATCTTCCTCTTGGTTGGTTGAGACAAAGTGGAGATCTTATTAGATGAGAAAGAAAAGATTGTTTTTGCTTTGGCACTTTACTTAAAACAGCTCCATGGGCTGCTTCAAAGTCCTTGGCTAATTTTTTTTTAATGAACATCTAACAGTTTTAATAAAATAATACCCATAAAATATTAAACATCTTTAATAAAATAATATTAAAATTCAAGTTAACAGAGTAAAACTTCTTTGTTTCTGGAAACATAAATTCACAATGATGTAAGTTTTTTTTATTCACTTTAAGGTCACTACTGATTACAGTTTGCAACCCTTTTTATTACAACATTTTTATTAACTTATTTTCTTGTCGGTTTATTTATTTTATTGTTCGCGCAAAACAAACACGAGTTCAGCAAGAGTTCAGCGTTAAAATCAAAATTATTAAAACAAGTAAAAACAAAAAAGACAAAAAAAACTTTACTTCAGCGTAAATAAAAGAAATCGTTAAAATATATATTAAAAACTTTTTAAAAAGAACGTTTTAATTGGACTGAAAAAGTAAATAAATGTATAATATATTTAAGAATTTTTAAAAAGCAACGTTTTGAAATGGACTAAAAATTAAAAAATAAACTTTTTCTCGGCACCTAAGGATTTTGTGTATGTACACAACCTGGAATATTCATCAAAGTCAATGACTGAAAATGTGGAACGCCCAAAACTTTAAACGGTAAAGATTTTATGAAGTTATAATGACTGTAAAAAAAAAAGTTTCCTCTGACATAAGTCCTATCGGTAATGTGAGGCTTTTAATTATGTCATGTCTGTGTATCAATACTTTGTGCACAGATTGAGCCACGTAATACCATGGATAAAGTGAGACATTGGGTCAAACAGTGTCAAAACAATAAAACTTTAGTTTTAAGCAGTCTCTTTCATATCTTGAAGAAAGTGTTACCAAGATAATGTAAAATCTAAATTTAAGGTTTTGATCAATACCCAGAATTTCAGCTATTCGTTCATATGCTGCAAAAGCACGCCTTGAACTATTGTTGCTTGTTCCAGAATCACCACTTTTAGGAAAATTAACAACAAGTCCTATTTTGTTGACAAAATTAGTCTGAGTTTAATGTTTAGCTAGAAATACCTTTTTTTAGTGTTCTTTAGATCTTGTTTGCCACTCTCTTGTTTCTTTTATATATATATATATATATATATATATATATATATATATATATATATATATATATATATATATATATATATATATATATATATATATATATATATATATATTTTTTTTTTTTTTTTTTTTTTTTTTTTCTTTCTCTGTTTACATAACTTAAGAATTTTGCAAATTCCACTACATAATATAATATTTAACAAAACAATTAAAACAGATACGAGCTCAAAGACGGTGAGGATGACAGAACGTAATCGCAATCTTTTCATAGAACCCCTTTAACAAGATTTAATTAAAATATCGCAATATGACATACAAAATAAAAATTTCAATAAAATATCATAACAAAATGCGTAATCCGCTAATAAAATTTGTCAAGCAACAAACAAAAGTAGAAACAAAGCAAAAACGAATTTTAAAGAATTTATCCAACGCATTATTAACAAAAAATGTTTCACAGGTTTTAAAGATTTCTTTTTTTGTTAAAAGCTTGAATGAACTTAATGAACTCACCGTACCTTTGAACCCTTTTTGAAAAATATTTCATACTTTTGGACCTCGATATAAAATACTGTATTCTGAATATTTATTTATTATCCTAGGCAGTTTATATGTGTTCAACATATTCGCTCTAAAATTATAGCTATCATTTTTATTTAACTCAAACTTATTATTAAAGTTTATAGAAGAGATATTGTGATTGTAACGATACATGAAAATTAAATGCTGGTAGATATTTATTTCAAATACATTCATCATTTTCATATCTTTCATCAAGGGATTAGCGTGTTCCCGCCTATTTTTAAAGTGAATGTTTCTACAGGCATGTTTTTGAAAACTATAAAGTTTCTTAAGCTTTGCTGTTTGAGTAATTGCCCATGAAATATTTGCATAGCTGATGAGGCTGAGAATTAGCCCAAAGTAGATTAATTTAAGACTATTTGTATTGATGTACGAGCGAACTCGATACATTAAACCTATGATTTTGGTAATTTTTGACTGGATATATATATTATATGACGATATATATATATATATATTATATGATTGCCAAGAATCTTATATTGGATTGCTTTTTAATTAATTTATCATTTATAAATAGGTTCGGCAACTTGAGAGGAAGATTTTCTTCTTGTGTTTTTTATGAAAAAGTATATAGTTTGTTTTCTCGGCATTAAGTGAGAGTTTGTTAGCCTTAAACCAGTTATTTACTTTATTTAGTTTAATATTCATGTCCGCATATAATTTCTTGATATCGTTGTTGGTAAGAAATAAATTCGTGTCATCTGCAAACATGACTGAATTAAGTTTTAAGGATGCATTACAGAAGTCATTTATATATATTAAAAAAAAGAAGTGGACCAAGAATCAATCCTTGCAGAACTCCACATATGACATTTAACACTCCAGATTGGGCATTATTTACATATTGTTTTCTGTTTGTAAGATAGCTTTTAATCCAATAGTAAGTTTTATTAATTATTCCGTAATGTTTTAATTTATCTAAGAGAATACAGTGGTCCACAGTATCAAATGCTTTTGATAAATCAAGAAATACTCCTAAAGTAAATCTATTATTTTCAAAACCATTAGTTATTTGATTTACTATTTCAATGATTGCATGCTCAGTAGAGAGATTTTTTTGAAAACCAAACTGATTTTGGTAAAAAAAATTGTTTTTAATGAAGTAATCATAGATTCAATTATAAACTACACGTTCGAATAGTTTTAAAAATACAAAAAGTAATGATATAGGCCTATAGTTTGTAATGTCAGAATGATCATTACATTTGAACAATGGAGTTACTTTTGCTAATTTAAGTACATCCGGAAATACCCCAGAATTTAACGAAAGCTTTAGTATATGTATTAGAGGTCTTTTAAGACTATGTTTGTTTACAATAACTATATTACTAGGTATCTCATCAAATCCTGGAGCCTTTTTTTTTTTTAACGAGGAAAAAGCTGCCTCAAATTCCTCATAGGTTAATTCATAATCAAGCATGATAACATTGTTCGTTGGTTTAAGGAAGGTTTTAAATGATACAGATGTTGGTACTATTTTTTTTACAAGATTTGGGCCAATACTAGTAAAATATTTATTGAGTTCTTCCAAAATTTGTTTTTGACTAAATATACCGTTGTTTTCAATAACAATTCGTTTAGGTAGAGAAGGTGAATTTAGTTTTTCTCTTCCCATTATGACATTGATGATGGACCATGTTTTTTGCAATTAAATTTGCATTTGTTAATTTGATTACTGTAATATTTTTTTTTTGCATTTTTAATGAGATCTTGGTAAAAATATTTACAATTTTTGTAATTTTTTTCATTATCATTGTTTTTATTTTTCAGAAATTTATTGTAAAGTTTTTGCTTTTTTTTTTGAGCACTTTAATAACGATTTATCCATCCACGGATTAGCGATTGATTTAGACTTAATTTTTATAATCTCTTGAGGACATGTTTCATTAAAGTACTCCAAAAATGTACTTAAAAAAGCATTGTATGCTCCATTCGTATCTTGACATTTATATACATTGTTCCATGTTTCTTGTTTTAGTCTATTTGTTAATTTATTAGCGTTACTCATTTTTTCAAATGTATGATTTTTGAATGACAATCAGTCATAGCTTTTAGATTTTTTGTTTTTATGAAAACCGAAAAATGATCACTAATATCTGTCATAAATATACCGGTTTCAAATGCCGTTTCTAAACAATTATTAATAAAAACATTGTCTGTTGCTGTTGCCGAGGTTTTTGTTACTCGCGTTGGTTTATTAATAGTTGACAAGACATTAAATTTAAAAAGCATATCAAAAAAAGATTTTATTTTTGGAAATTTTGTGTTAGAAAGAGCATCAAGATTTATGTCACCAGTAATATATAATGTTTTATTTTCTTTATTTATTTTTATAACCGTATTTTTCATAAAAGTTTCAAAGGTTTTTATTTTTCCACTCGGTGGACGATAAACACATCCAACTAAAACGTTTCGGTATTTTTTGTTAATAATTTCAATGAAAAGACTTTCATAATTATTATTAGAAAAGCATAGTATGTTTTTTATCTTGAAAGCATACTTTTCCAAGACATAAATTCCTAATCCTCCTCCTTTTTTCCCACCACCTCGTGGTTGACTAATTAGTTTGTATAGTGGTAAAGTATAATTAGAATTTAATTCAAGAGTACTTTCTGTATCATGCCAAGTCTCTGAAAGAGATATGACGTCGAACGTGTAATTTAAAATATTTAAAAATTCTTTAAGTTTATCAAAATTTTGCTTCTAATGTTTATGTGTAATACAGAAAATGAACCATCATCTGTTTTTACTTTAAAATCAAAAGGATCAATATACGGTGTGTTAATTAAGTTGACTTGAGATTCTTGAAAAATATTTATGTTTTCTTCAGATAGATTATTTATAAAGTTGTCCTCAAAAAGATCTAAATTTAAATTGTGAAAATCTAATTTCTCTGAAAAAAGCGACGCCATTTTTTAGTTTTTTTTTCAAAATAACTAATTTAAAAATATTCAATATAATTAAAAAAAAAATACTGAAAACGCTTACTCGTTGACTCATGTTGGATTAACATCTGTGTTGCGGGTGTTTTCTCGAAATTCGTGAACAATAAGTTTGTTGTAAACAACTTTCGCAAAATAGCCATTTTGACGATGTATTCTCGCCTGATCAAAATGTTCTTTTCGAATTTTTCAAGTTGTAAAACTAAAATCTTCGTTTAAAAAAATATTGGTTCCTTTTATTTTAACTGCTCTCTCCATAATTGTTTTTTTATCCTCGTAATCACGGAAACTCACGACGATTGTTCGCTCTCGTTTATCATTAGTTGCTCCTACTCGATGAGCCCGTTCAATTATAATGTCTTTTTGAATACCAACGTTATCATTAAATAGTTGTTTTACCCTTTTTTTTGTGATTTCCCAAACTTTTTCTTCACTATTTTCGACGATCCCGTCTATTCTTAAATTATTTCTTCTGTTACGGTCTTCAATATCGACGCTTTTTAATTTTAATTCAATATTGTCCGAAGATATTTTACCATGCATTTTTCTTACATTTAATAAATTGTCATGAAATTTATTTATTTTTTCCTCAACTGCTCTAGCTTTATCATTGAAAACATCGCCAACAAAATTTACGCCAGATTTCATTTCATCAAGTTCTCGCCGAACTTCTTGAAAACTAGATTGAAAGTTATCAAACTTTTCGTTTATGCTAAATAGTGATTCACGGAAAAAAGATAGAATTGTTTCTTTTTGAATATTAAGAAGTTCTCTTATCATAGAAATTGAGACTAATTCTTCTGATTTAGACATTCCAAATTTTATTAAACAAGATGAAAATTTTTTTTAAAATTATTTTACCGTTAGAAAAACGCGTCTGTTCGCCACGATGTTCACAACGCAAAAAGATATGCAATGTGCAAAATGATCTCAAAAAATCGAATCCATGAATGGAGACTGGAAAGATTTCATTTTTAAACTCTGTTAGTATAATCTATATTAAGGATATCAAGACTATTCATATCTTTTTTGAAAAGAAACCACTCACTGAACAGCATTGGTATGAGTTAGTTTTCCAAGATAATATCGTTTGAACCTTTCTATTAATCATTGTAAGTTCAGTAATACAATTCACTTCAATAGAAATGCCGCAAATCTCTAATAAAATCATACCCAAGCTTTTTATCTCACTTTTGATGTACTCAACTTCTTCAATTACAGATTCCTTGGATTCCATTTTGTATGCAAATCTTATGTGTTAACTGTGTCTGCTGTGAATGATGACTTTTGATTTCTCCAAATAAAAACCTTTTTGTTGCTGTTGTTAAATCCAGTCAAATCAAAAGCAACTAGACAAGTAATAAATAGTGATTCTTCACTCTTTAAATCTCTGTTCATATCAGGTTCTGATAAAACTTGTTTATAAATGCTTTGGCCAGTAGCACCAACCTTACACATGAGTGTCATTGTTTTTGTTGCATTGTCGTTCAATATCAAGTGCCTCAGCACAGGTTCCTGAACTGCATAGATTCTTTGCAAAGTATGAATCATTAAAGGAAGTGAAGCTGAATAGTCCTCTACTGTTATATTTGCATGATAACTTTTCAATTTTGCATCCCTGACATTATTGTAAGCGGGGTAGATGCTATATTCTTTCTCCAAGGCTTCACTTCTAATCAATTAATAGAAAACTTTTTTCAGACTTGCATTAATAAAACCAGTGCTTTGACTGCTGAACATTTACTAGCTTTATTTGTATTTGAAATATTTAAAACGTTCTTGGCAGCAACAACAATAGAATCATCTCTTAATTTTTTACTAGCAGCAAAAAATAATTTATTAGATGAATGAGATTCAAGTGACATGTATCCTGAACTGCATAGATTCTTTGCAAAGTATGAATCATTAAAGGAAGTGAAGCTGAATAGTCCTCTACTGTTATATTTGTTACTGTTATATCTGTTATACTGTTATATCCTCTACTGTTATATCTGTTATACTGTTATATCAGGATACATGCCGTTTTTTAGTTTTATTAAAACTATATTAAATATTGATTAAGCCAATTCACAAACTTCTTTTCAAAAACTTATTTTCTTTATAAATTTTAGAAATAGTTTTTATAAATATTTTTTAATTTTTCTTCCAGCAAATAGTTTCAGCCAATGATTAGTGATATTGATTTCTCATCTATTATATAACTTTTCTGCAACTAGCACCAAGAGTTCGATGTATATTAATAATATATATAATAAAGAGGAACTCTAACCCTAACCCTGACACTAACCCTAACTTAAAGTTGCTCTTTTTTCCTAATTCTTCTTAAAATTTTGTTTATGCAATGTTAGCATATTAGGCAAAGTAGTATTCTTTAGACAGCAGTTGTGAAATCAAATTTTATATGCTCCCCGGGGTGTAAAAAAGACGCCTTTTAAACGTATTAAACGTTTTTTGAACGTTCAAAAGTCCTGTGCCTACAAGGCTCTTTCGAAATCAAACTTTAAGAACTTTTAATAATTAATTTTAATAAGTACAGGGTTAGGGTTAAAAAGGGTTAAAAAATTTAATTTTTTATTGCATTTGAAAAAGCGTATTGCTTCCCGAACAGTCAAAATGTTGCCCTGTGGGGCGTACAACTTATTTTAGGAACTACTGTTTTAACCAGTACAAAACTCAGCTGAATTTTATTCGCAGAATTCCAAGTCAATCTTAGCTAAAACCCAGATTTTATCCAACCTAGATTTGCAGCGCTGTTATTATACCATATGGAACCATCTTTTACCTAGATCAAATCCAAGCTAAAAACTAATCCCAGTAACGCAGATTTACCCCAGCAGGGACCCAGTTGTACTGATTAACTAAAATATATATTTGTAAACACTTGTTTAAATTTCTTAATAAATTTTTTTATTAAAATCATTTAACCTGTCAAAATTGAGTGGTTAAAAAAGCTTTTAATGATCCATGAATTTTAGGGCAAGTTTCGATATGAAACCCTGAAAATGTTTGAGAAACTATTCTTCACTTTTAAAAAGTGTGCAGAAAAAATAATATATTAAATTACGAAGTTTAAAGATTCGTTTTTTCTATTTTATTTTTTTTGCCTTAAAAATTTTTGATTGATATGGTATGTTATATTGCCCTCCAAAAAAAGAACTTTTTGTAATAAAGTATTATTTTTTTAAAGGGCAATAAACCTCTCTAGCTCTTGAAAAGCCCACAAAAAAAGATTTTTGAAAAAACACCTGAATGTGAGAAAAGGTAAAATGAAAATAAAGAATTGCACCGTTTAATACTGCTTGCTTTTCATTTCCATGAATGAACAAACCGCATTTACGTAACGTTGCTAATTAATTAAATTTGTTAAGGTAATTATTTTTCAGTTTTAATTCTATTGTGTAAACAAGTTAACCGCGTTTGCTAAGTTTAACAGGAAACACACGCAAATATTTTTGAAAAACAATTAAAACTAATCAGTTGCGCATGTTACTTCAAGAAAACTTGCACAATTTGCGGCTTGACTTCATACGCTCTGTCGCTCACAAATAATTAGTATCACGTGACCTACTTCATTTGATGAAATCGTTAGGCACATTTTCTTTTTACTTTGAATTAAGGTTATTATTGTTTTAAAAATCAAATTCATTAAAAATAATTAGTTTGTAAATAAATATACAGAAATCACTTCAAAGTAGTGTTACAACCGAATTCCAATCATTTTCATCAACAAATACGTTACTTATTTAACTCTCAAAGGAAAAAATCAACCTAAGTTAAAATATTTATCGCATCATCAGACCGTTAACATCAGTGGGTAGTAGTATCATCAGTGGATATTATTTTAAATTTTTGATGTAGTGACTTATGGAAAAACAAAGAAAGCTTTTATGATTTATTATAAATAAAAGATGGGTTTTCAGAATGTTTTATTTCTAATTCATTTGCTGGTTTTGTTTTGCATAGGTAATTATTCTTATTTGTTGGAAATTTTTTTTAGTCATTGATTTAATAATCAAGTAATACATCTATAAAAATGATTTGAGACCCGTATTTCAGTACTTTTAATATTATTTCAGACAAATAATACTATTTTGGACTCTTAATACTATTTTGGACTCTCAATATGATTATGTCCTTTTAAGGACTCTCAATATGATTATGTCCTTTTAAGTTTATTCTATAAAATTTATACTATCAAGTTTTTTATATTCTTCCAATTTATATTTTTTTTTAACGCCTCTTTTTGAAGAAGCGGATAAAGTTGATTATCAGAAATGAAAACTTTCATTAATATGTTGGGGTAAAACTTTTACCCCAACATATTAATGAAAATCATTTATGAAAAATCCAAAAATGAGGCAATTCGGTCATTTAACAAAAAAAACTTTTTGAAAATAAAGAAAGTATATTCAATTGCAAATTGAAAACTGGATTATTAGATAAAAGTTCATAACAACTTTAATGTCAAAGTTCTGTTGACGTCTGTGTCGCAAACATCATTTTATGGTTTATGAATTCAATGCGTGCCTGGTATCGTTTTGTCAATGTATTTTACTTTGCAATAACCTATTTTAAAAACGGTTTTATAAATGTTCTGAATGATTTCAGTTTCATAATGAACTGTACGGAACCAAAGATCTTTTAAAATTGGCCAAGACATACGTTTCAAGTTCGCAATTTTTTGAAGTGTTACTATATTTTGAGCAATGACAAGCTGTTCATTGCCAAGCAGAATAGTTGCTCGACCTGGTTTTTGGATATTTTTTGTCTAACAGCATTAAAAATGTCTAAGATTTGATCTGGGAACTTTGTTAATTTCAAAGGCTCTTTTAACGGAAATACCAACCGCTAACGGTTCCATAGCCCCGTTTTCTCGCTCTATAAGACACTTATAGCGTAACATTTTTTTGTTTTGCATGTCTGTAGTATATTGCAGCTAAAAAGAAAGAAAATAATTAGAAACATTTATAAACAAAATCAGTAAGCCGCCATATAATCCCAATTTTTAAAATGGTTATATGGCGACTTATTGATTTTGTTATTTATTACCTTGATGTAAATGCTTTGAGCTGTAAAATGCACTTATCTAAAGAGCTAATATAGGTCTAGCTAAGATTTTGATCAAATTGTCCCTCAAATATTTGCTATGCTACTGTTTATAAAATCTGAAAAGACAAAAACAATAGCATATGAAAAACATTCAACAACAAGAGTATTATTATTTTAGTTTTTTTTTGTTATCTACATTAAAATGTCAATTTAACATTGAGCTGTTTAAATTTTTTAGAAAGATTTTTTTGTGCCCCTTTTTTTTTGCGTTACTTTAATTTGAGTAATTGGTACTTATAGAAATATTATTAAATTGGAGACAGAAAACGAATAATAACTTAGCTTGTCCTGGTGGCAAATGTATGAGTTTTACATATTTATTTTTATTACAAATTTCACATCCTGCAAACCAAAAACTCACGCATTCAAATAATCAGTACGATAAAATTAATATAATATTGATGCTTCATGACAGTTTTATCTTGCTCCCGTCGATAATAAGATCTTTATAATATTTTTTTGAAAATCTACTTTATATTATTAGCAAACTGTATATATTTTGTGAAAGTTCGTTTTATATATCTACCACGACTAACTGTGTAAACTAAAGTAAAAATAATAATATAAATAATATAAATGTTTGTTACTTCTATACAAGTACTTAATTAAAATTTAATATTTCAAAACTTTCTGACCATTTAAACTCACAATCAGTACGGCAAACGGCAAATTTGAAATTAATGAATTTATAAGTGAAATTTTATTTATCAATTATAAAATTAATAAATAAAATCTTATATATACTTATACTAGTCTATAGTTATGATAATCTACATTTATGCTTAGAACAGTTAAATAACAATTTAAAAAATTGACAATTAAAATCAAATCTAATTAATTTGTCATTAAATAAATACTGAGGTTCAGTGTTGGATCGAGGGTTTTGTAATGAGTAAAGTTTATTTTCTGATAGTGCTAAATTTCAAACATTTAAGTGTTCATACTTATATCATATTAGGATTTTTAACAAAGCTGAACTGATAAAAACATGAGGAATCATTTGCCTAAATATTTTTAGTTTATATCTGGTTTTATCAAATTAAAAAAAAAAAGGTTATTTAAATAAGATTTCAAGTAAATAAATTTATAGATATAAAACTAGAGCTGCGTCAAAGTATCGGTATAGGTATCAAGTATAGGCCTGTTCTTCATTCTCAATCCATGAAATAAAATTTTTTTTAGTCATCATATCGACTCCGAGCAACCTTTAGAAGTCTTTAAATTCAAGAGTAGAAGTCTTTAAATTCAAGAGTAGAAGTCTTTAAATTCAAGAGTAGTAACTTTATAAATTTTACTCCAATACAAAACAATATTTTTTAAAAAAAAAATTGGATTTACTTTATTTTTTTAATATTAACTCACCTCTGCCAAGCCTAGAAGGCACTACAGACAAGCAGTAGCTACTTAATTTGTGGTTATAACTCACTCTGAACTCTATAACTAAGAAACACGAACCTTGACGAACATGACCACTGCGCGGAGAAACAAGTTGAGCGCGGTACTACCAAGGACATGGTGCGTATCGAACTTCGAACCACTCTCTTATGAAGCAAGCGCTCTACCATTACACCACTACCGCATTACTTACGCGGTAACAATGTTTCTTATTAGTAATAAGATGATCTAGATCCTTATTTACAAAACTAGATCATCTTATTAGTAATAAGATAATCAAGTTTTGTTATTATAAACCTAAAACCCGCCAGATTCGTTAAACAAACGCGTTGAGTATGCGTAGCTAACCAGTTTGGTTAACGCGCTTAAAAGGGTCTAGCGGGTTTTGGGCCTATAATAACGAAACCCAGGTTCAGTTTAAAAGGGTCGGGTCAGGTCTTGACCCAACTCATTTACAAATCTAGTTAATACAATTTGTACTTACACTTATTTAAAAACGTCGCAACTATGTTTTAATTGTAGTGAACTTTTAACAGCATGTAAAACAGTTGTTGTTTATCGCGGATTGAAGACTTTAATTGGTTGGTGATGATAAAAATGTAGGTTTCCTTGAATTCCTGAGTGGTCAGATGTCTGTGATAATTCAAAAAAAGTACTGCAAAATGTATGCTCGGACAAGAACTATTGGTGCATTTAATTATTTTGCAGTCACTTTTTAAGTATGGGGTCTGAACTCGTACTGAAAACTCTAGAAGAGAATGGAAAAAATGATAAAATCACATAAAGTGATTGTATAATTTTAAAAAATGCGGTAAAAAAAAAGTAAACAATCCTATAGAATTCTTAAAGAATCTTTCTGCACTTAAATCCAAAATGGTCCTAGCAATTCTATTAGCCTTACTATTATTTATAATACTGTAATTTCAGTATTATCAATGGTATTAAGGCTAATAATAATTATTGCTAATAGAAGAGCTTTTAGTCTGAAAGTCCTTCTACTAGCGATAGTCTACTGAAGTTTGCTCGAGGGTCTACTGGTACGAAGATACTTTAAACCCAAAAATGGCCAATCGCAACAGTTTATCTTTTTGTTCATTCAACTGTCAATCTTTTAAAAGTAGTGTTTTTGCAAATATAAATCTGTGTCATATATACAATTTTTTTTATTACAAGAGCATCCAGTATTACCCAATGAGCTTGAATTATTAAATTATTTGAATTAATGACAATCATTGCCTTCATAATTACAAGGATACATGTTCAAAAATAAAATCACTTATAGTGGAAACTGATGCTATGGACACAGATATTGCAGGCAATTTTACCTGTTATAATGGGTCAGGATTCTGTGAAGAAGTTTCAAATCTTAATTTAGAAAATAAACTGAATTAATCAAATCAATCGCTTTGATAATGTCTGTACATATGTCAGTGATGATGGATCTATTTCTTGCTGATAGGATTGCATAGAATGCAATCCTATCAGCAAGAAGATCAGTTTTAAATAATGTACTTGTATCAGATCATAAACCGTTTCATATAGCGTTTCTGATTTCTTGCTCAATAGCAAACTCATCTAAAATAAATAGCAGCAAGCCTTATTTTAATATGACAACAAGAACTCCTAACTGGAAAATTTGTGACAAAGCCATTTAGCATATTGTAAAGAGAAAGTAGACTTTTTATTGAAATCCATATATTTACCATTATCTACTTACTGAAAATATATTTTCAGTAAGTAGATAAATTGGTAAACATATGGATTTCAATAAAAAGCCTAATTTTTCTTCAAAATGTGCTAAAGCTCATTAAAATGTTCTAACCAATTCTCTTTAAAATTAGGTTGTGGCGCTTTTTCAAAATCTCCAAGTTTAATCTTCCTTAGAGTAGTTCGTTTTTGTTTGTTTGGCTTACATTAATCACATCAAACTTCATCAAATGTTTATCATATTTCTGATGAACATTTGATAAAGTATTTTAATACAGCCAAAACATTTAATGAAGTGTTCTAGTGAATTTAATGAAAGTTCTAGTGCCAGATCCTAAAGCTCTTCATCCTGGTGATAGAGTGCTCTGTCATTGCTCAATTATGAGTTATGACCAGCTCTTACTCAGCAGAAATAGCAGATCAGCAAGGTGTCTGCATATTTTTGGTCTTACCACTGATAATTTCTCAAAGTTAGTCTAAAAACATATTTGGTCTCAGAGACCCTTTTAGCTGGAATACCAGCAGTAATAGCCTTCATAGCCTTGTTCAATTGCCTCATGGGGTAGTTACTGTATGCGTAACCTTTCTTTTGCTAGTATATGTTTGGCATAATGCAACTGATAAATAAAAAAAAATTTTGACAAATTTATTAAGCAAATCAATAAGTGGTCATATTACCCCAAATTTTAAAATAGTCCATTTACCCCACTTATCTTAAGGTAAATGCTTTGAACTTATCTTAACTTAAAATGCACTTAGCTAAGTAGCTCATAAAGGTCTGGTTAAAATTTTGTTAACATTGGGCTATAAAATGTAGAGTTAGACACCTTTGTAAATTTTATAAAATGTAGAATTGGACATCATATTTTAGCATATTTTAGCCAAAAATTGATAAATTGATAAATGCTAAACTGACCATATTACCCCATCTGACGGTATATATATATATATATATATATATATATATATATATATATATATATATATATATATATATATATATATATATATATATATATGTATATATATATATATTTATATATATATATATATATATATATATATATATATATATATGTATATATATATATATATGTATATATATATATACATATACAACTACATATTTACATATATATATACATATATATATATATATATATATATATATATATATATATATATATATATATATATATATATATATATATATATAAATATATATATATATACATATGCATATATATATATATATATATATATATATATATATATATATATATATATATATATATATATATATATATATATATATATATATATATATATATATGTAAATTTTTGTACTCTTAGCTTTAAATGGAATGTCTCTGATGATATCATAATGAAATCGCCACAAAGTTAAAAATGGGAGCTTTGATTATTATATTGACTTATTCCGTTGAGTAATTTATTGACTAAGAATTTAGGTTAAGGCTTTTACATTGAAGGGTTGTTTCAATCTGCCATTAAAAATATTATTGTATAAATTAATAATTTGTTTATTTTTACTTTTCATTCTTTATCCGTTTTTCTCTCTTTTTTTAAACAACTCAGGGTTATAATTAGCATTTTAAAACAAAGAAAATGAAAAGTTTACTTTGTATAAAGTACTTTGCATTTTGAAGTAGGGTTGCCAGATGTCTGGCTTTTACAAAGGAGTACATAGAAAAAAAATTATTTTTAAGGTTTGGCGCTGTATTCTCCTTTGTAAAAGTCAGACGCCTGGCAACCTATGTCAGAAGTAATAATATCTAAAATGTTATTTCTCTGTTTTAGATAAGCATTGTTGCATTTTTTTTTGACAATTAACTGCTGTGAGTTTTAAAATGAGGACTTTGATCCAGACAGTTTTTTCAACAATAAAAACAGAAATTTTTTTTTTCCTGTTGATATATATTAAACCTCTACTTATAGCTATAATATGATGTCATCAGTGATATTTTAATCAATGCTTAGTACTTAAAGGTGTTTATAAATGGTTATATATATATATATATATATATATATATATATACATATATATATATATATATATATATATATATATATATATATATATATATATATATATATTAGTAATTATAAATATACTCTATATTAACCCTGCTATTAGATTTTTCTGCAATTGAACTCTTTTTCCATCCTCAATAGTTCTTTAAATTTCTTCTCAGTCACAAGTGGTTTCAAACCAGATCTTTGTAAATGGACTTCAATTGTTAGATCAGGAAAGCTGCGTGACGGAATGAGCTCTGGCACATTTCACACGTTAGGAAGTACTCCCAACATGGAAACTTGTGTTGATTTATGTTGCAGCATGAATGTTTGTGGTGTTGCTTTTCGTCATAAGGGAAACTGCTATGGTGTTGAGTGTAACAGCAATAAAAGTTGTGATTCAATAGCAGCTGATTTCCAATCACACATGGATGTTGAGATTTCTCATGTAAGAGCAGGACATACTACAGGTTAGCGGTCTATAGATTTATCAGACCTTTTTACCAGGACATGATGATTCTATAGCAATTTCATGTTATTTTTTTTGTTTTATATTTTATATCTTCATATGTATATCAATTTGCATGTAAATTATAACCCAATCTAGTTCTAAGTGGTAGTCCTGGTATTTAGGTTGATCTTAATCAAGGCCGTAAACTTTCTTTTGAAATGCTTGCTCTTACAAACTTTTAAGCTCCACAAATTAAACTTGCATTTTAATGCATATAACAAAACACAAAAAACACAAAAAAAAGCATTGAAATGATAAAATAATAATAAAACTTGCAAGTTACATTTTTTTAAGTGTCTTGATAACTTAAATGTATTCAACTTTATGAATGAAAATAAACTTTCTAAAATTTTTTTTATACATTTTTTTATTTTGTTTAAATAATGCTGCTTGTTTAAATAAAAAAAAAATCAAATATCTTTAAAAATTTAATTGTCATAAAACTAAAAAAAATATATATATATATATATTTTATTATGGTTTTAGTGAATGCAACAGAGTTAGATAAAGCAGGTAAGTGTCAGCCCAGTGCAGTTTTCAAAGAAGTTACTTTGAAAGGTGGTATTAATGCTGGTACTTATAAAGATATTGGTGGGGTCAGTACAATGGAGGAATGTCAAGCCAAGTGCTGTGATTTTCCAGCTTGTGATTTAGCATTTATGTTAGCAGGAAGTTGTTATTTAGTAGGTTGTTATGATCAAAAACAATGTACTATGCAACCTGCAAAAGAAAGTAAATTTCATCCAATGATATCTTATGTTACTCGATGGAATGGTGAAGGTGTCAAACACACAAGTATTTTTTTATTTTTGTATTGTTAATGATTTTTTTTATTTATTCATCACATTATAAATGGTACATTATAATTATAAATGGTATATTTGTTTACTGTTTTGTTTTAATTATTTTATTTTTTTGTTTATAAAAATTTACAGGTATCTATTATAATGTGTAACTATTTACTTTGAATAGATCATGTAATATCTTGCTGAATGTAATTATGCAACTATTTACTTCATTTAAATCTTATTCAAACATTACTAGTGTTATTTTTATCTAAAATATTATTTTATAGCTTATTAAACCTTAGTTTGTACTGATTTCATCATAAAAAGTGAACTAAATTAAACAACCAGTTTTTTATTAAAAAAAAAAGAACATTAAAGTTCCAATTTTATTTGTAAATGTGAGTGAAAATATAATGTTTAAAAGCAATTTAAACAAGTCAAAGTTTACCCTTAAGTTCTTGAGTAGTTTTTCAAGTTCATTTGTTGCTTAAATTTTGTTCAAATTTTTTCAAAAAAATTTCAAAGTTCAAATTTTGTTGTAATGGTTTAAAAATAGTTATCAAGTTGGTAAAAATAGTTATCAAGTTGGTAAAAATTAATTTGGTGTATTTGTATTCGTATTGTATTTGCTTAAAAAATGTATAAATTGTTTATATTTATATTTGTGTTTGATTGAAATTTTATTTGCATTTTCATAAACTAGGTTAACCAGTGTTTTTTTTAGGAAATAACAAGACGTTTTTTTATTTTTTATTTTTAACACTAAAATAAATAAAAAATTGTTTTTAAGGGATATTTGTTAGAAGACTTGTTTTCATTCTTCTATGTAGGGGTTTTTCATAAATTTTGTCACACAACTTTTGGCTATTTTGGAAACTTATAGTAACAAATCCCACCCTTATAGTAACAAATCATCTATTTACTGACTCTTTTCCCTGAAAACTACTCAACAAATTTGTACCTCCCTCCTTCCCTAAATTTTTTTTGCAATACATTTGTATACAAAAATTGTTTAAATCTTTTTTATCTATCATAATCATACTTCCATATTGTGAGACTCCGCTAATTGATGAGATGGTAATTGGTTCCCTATAGTGGGAACAAATTTTGGGTTTTGATGTTTCATTTAAAAGTTGTTTGATATTTATTTATTAATACTGTTGTTCAATTATAACTCATTATTTAAAATCTTTAAAGTTTCAGATAATAATAATAATCATTGTGTACTTAAATTAACTGTGTAGTTAGTTTGACTGACTTAAAAGGTACAAGGGAGATGAAGTGTACATATACTCTCTTTTGCACTCCTTAAATCAATATAAAGTTGTGTAAATTAACAGTGATTAAATGAATAAATAATCTCTAGGATATGTTACTATCTTCAGCAATATGTTAGTTATACTTCTTCAGCAATATGTTAGTATTGTGGTGCAGGGTGTATTAACATTATAATCTTTTATGCAAATGCGTATTAACTAATTGTTATTATTATTTTTTTAATAACTATATTATAAATAATTATTTTTTAATCAATGATATATCAGCTATAATCAACTAAAATTTAAGTCAATTCCAATAATAATAATAATTAATAATAATAATAATAATAATAATAATAATAATAATAAGTGTATGGAGTGTACATAAATATTTTTTTGCAATCCTATAGTTCGATATAAAGTTGTAAAAATTAACAAAAATTTAAGACTATGATTATTATTAAATGGTTCATTATAACTCTAAGTAATTTAACTAAATTGGTATAAATGTTAAAGCTAAACTTTATAGATTAGTTATTGGCCTGATGCTAATTGCAGTACACAATCTCAGTACATATTTTATAATGTATAAACATTGTGTAATGTTTTAGCTTAGCACAAAATTGCTTTGTTAAACTGTTATGTTAAAATTGTTACAATTTTCTTTCAGTACTTCTGCAAGAAAAAGGAGTCCAGAATGTCTGTCCAAAACCTGTGCCAAAAACTCATGTTACACTTAAAGGTGGTTTGCAAGCTGGCGATTTTACAGATGTAGGAAAAGTTTCTAATATAGAGCAGTGTTATGATATTTGTTGTCAACAAGAAAAATGTAATCTTGCGTTTATGCTCGGGCAAAATTGTTTTAGTGTGGTATGTAAAGAAAACGATTTGTGTGACACTGTTACAGCACAGCCATCAATTTTTAACCCACAAATAGCTTATGTTACTAGTCGCGAGAGAGTTAAAAATACTAAATCTGGTATTATTTATTTATTCATTGCATAGTTTATTTAGATTTATTCATATTCTAATAATTTATTTATTCATTGTTAATGCTATTTATTTTAAAGTAATAAAGTTTCAAACTGACTGGGAAAAAAATTTGTATAACTTATTATACAATTTTAGGTTAAAAACTTTATATATATATATATATATATATATATATATATATATATATATATATATATATATATATATATATATATATATATATATATATATATATATATATATATATATATATATATATATATTAAAGTTTGAGATAACTAACTTTCAGATTTGGAGAATTTTTGCATACATATCAAAAAAATTTTTTTTTTTGATATGTATGCAAGCCAAAAAGTTGGGAAATTTAAAGTGAATTTAGAATATAATTTTAATTTTTTGAAAAAAGAATTTTTTTATCTTGCGCAAGTAGACAACATTTTTTATAAATTTTTGAAATTTTTATAGATTGCCAAATATTTGGAAACCTAAGTGTAATATACACATGTATATGACATATTTTATATTTGACCATTATAGATGATGTGTAAAAAAAAATCAAGCTCCTAGCTCTATTGCTTCATATTGAGCCAAACTATTTTTTTAAAGTTACGCCAGAAAACAGAGGTCAATCAATGAATCACTTAAACCATACAGATTTTGGCAAATGATACAACAGTTATAGCAACCTAAAATTTTGATACAACATGATACAACAGTTATACAACATGATACAACATGATACATTGATACAACATTGATACAACATGATACAACAGTTATAGCAACCTAAAATTTTGTAGGGAGGGTAGAAGGGTCTCTGAGTCTTATTATTGATTATTATATTGCCCAGCCCCTCCACTCAGTAATAATTCTCAATAGTAGTAATAATATACTAGGAAAATTCACGAATTTTTAGTTGTGGAAGGGGGGGGGGATTTCCTATTCTAACATGGCTGTTTCACTCAATATAAAAACGAGCTTGACGTCACAGTTATTTTTGTGTTTATCAAAAAAAAAAGTATTTCTGCAAAAAAAGTTTAAAAATAAACTAACTTTAAAATAATAGCTTTTTTTCCTATAAGCGCTTTCATCTTCAAATAAAAAAAATATAAAAGACCTATCTTTTTTTTTAAATAAATATTTACACTAAACAGAATAATGTTTAAATATTGCTAACTATTTGGGATCACTTTTCTGGTTTTTGTGGTTTTTATGGAAAACCTGTCTTGGGTCAACTAAGATTTCATAACATAGCTACATGCCTCATGGTTGAAGTTTGGAACATTTATAAATAAATATCTATTCTATCTAATTTTTGTTGCGGGTTGCTTATTTTTTATTTTTTAATTGTTTTTTAATGCATTTATATTTTTAATTTTATTATTAAATAATGAAAATCGTATTGTTTTTGTAATCTGCACCAAATTATTGAAATTTCAACCCTTTCTGCATATAAAAATCAAAAAATAGTTTGCTGTACCTCTAGCTATGTTATAAAATATGTTTTCAAACTTGGCTAGTTTAGAAACAAATTTTTCTAGTTTAATGCGTAAAACATTGTTTACATTTCAAAACAATCACGTGACCTTAAATTATGTATGTCCCAAGCAAATATGTAATAAATTTTATTAAAACAACTTTCTTAGCGAGACAAATTGTGAAGTATAAAATAAACAAAGTTAATAAAACTAGTTACACTGTTAGTTCACTAACAGTGTAACTAGTGGCAACAGTAATGGTCTGATCCTGTCTTTTGTTTTTCAAAACAGGTATGAGTTTAATCTCTGAGTTGGACTCAGAACTTGATTTTGAAGAGAATACTAATGATAAATGTTTTGCAACTCCTGAGTTACTAGGAATAGGCTCATCTTTTGTAGATTCAATAACAGTAACTGATTTCTTTGCACGCTCCATTCTCCTCAATTCAATCTCTTTCCTTCGCTTATCAATATGTCCTATTTTCTTTTCTCTTATCTGATCCTCCAGAAAAAGTATATCCTCATACTTGTTAGATGGAAGCCTATCCTTGTCTGCTTTGATAGCTTTTATCAGACTCTTCTTCGTATCACTCAGCCAGAACAGTCTTAATTAATCATTCAACAGTCTTAAAAAATCATTTTAAAACTTACCAAAAATTATAAATATTAATTATTAAGTTATTTAAACATTTTCGGATAACATTTTTTTGTAATAAATAAACAAATATAATCTTTAAAAAGATTGATAAATAACCTCTCACTGATCTCTCACTGATCTTCACAAACTGCTGCATGATATGCATCAGTTTGTGAAGATCACAGGCTATACTCTCATTTTTATATTAGCTCTTCTTATAGTTCAAGTATTTGTCAATATATATATTTTGATATACTCTTTTGAAGGGTAACAGGTCCAATCATGGGAAAACCTGATCTTAGCTATAGAAACCAGAGTGAGCCTAGAATACATTCCTCACTGCAAATTGAATCCACAGAGATACATTGCACGCTAAAGCAAAGATAATTTTTTTTTTTACAAATTTTTCCTCAGTTGCATACCAAAAATAAAATAAAATTGTGTTTACAATTTTTGAATGAATAATATTTAAGGAAACTATTTGCAATATTTGCTTAATATTTGAGTTAGTTTCTTTATAAAAAGTTATCTAAAACTGTTTCTTAAAAGGCAGGAAACAAGTCAAGTTTCTCTCCATAGTTGAACCATTCTTCTCCTTTAGGTAGAGGAAGTGCTTGATAATGTCTGCCCAGGTTGGCAGCCTAAATGAGGACATCTTGGCTGGTTTGCTAACTAAAAAGTATTCCTTTGTACAACCACTTTCTCTCCTTTTTCTTGTACGTTTTGGAGTTTTCACATTTTCATTTTCTAAAGGAATTTTATTTTTGTTTCAGGTTTTCATTTCTAAAAATAATTTTGAAATTTTAATTTATTAAACTATTTAGAATTTTAAATTATGATAAATTATGATAAATAATTGGGATATAAAAAAAAGATTAAACAAATCAAAACTGATTGGTTAGATAAAACATGTTATTATTGGAAAGTTGAGTACAAATGTACATAACTTCCAATATGTGTATACTTCATTTATGGACAAATTCCAATTGTGTATACTTCATTTATGGACAAATTGTTCAGATTATTGCCAGAAAGAGTGAATCCTCAACTGGATCCTCTTCAACTAGGCTAAGATATAAAAAAGTTAGTATCCTACAATACATAATTTATTGGGTGGGCATGGGGGAGGAGGAGAGGTGTTGAGAAGATGTGTAATCCCCACCCCCTCCCAAAATGAAAGAATGTAATTGTAACAAAAAAATATACATTTTAATTATGCATTGGGTTAACATTGAGTTGATAGCCCTATTTGTACTGAAGTCAAGGTGGGGCACTTCCCCCTCCCCAAACGGGAAGGGGGTTTTGCCCCAAGATACACAGATGTATATTTTAATCTGACATCTATATCCTAAAAAAGCTTACACACAAATATTTAGGTTGCTATGATTATTGTTTCATGTTGCGCCAAAATCTGTATGATTTTAGTGATTTATTTATTGACCTCTGTTTTCTCGCATAACTTTAAAAAAGATAGTTTGGCACAATATGATATATATATATATATATATATATATATATATATATATATATATATATATATATATATATATATATATATATATATATATATATATATATATATATATATATATATAAATTGATATCAGCTACAACAACACTTAAAACAAAAAACTTGGAGAATTTTCTGCATATTTTTAAACAATTTACTTTATTTAGGATTATATTTACTCAATGTATCAATTATTGATTATAAACTGTTAATTTTATAAGTAAATATTTTGTTTACTGTTAATAAATATTGCAATATTGGTAATGTTTCTATATTGATGAATGACAACATTAACGAGTCCTCTATTTTAAGCTTTTTCAGATTATGGTTCACCACTGAGCTCTCATAGAAAACCATATATCCAATCGATTCCAAAATTTGCTAAGATTGCCACGGTTGTGCTTTTTATTTTCCTATTCTTAATTCTATTTCCTCTAAAATTTTCTCATTTGTCTTCATATAGAATATTATTGTCATATTACGACTTGTTCTTCAAACGATGTTTTTTATTTAAAAGCAAAAAAGCAAATTATTATTAAAGTTATCTTGATTATCTGTAAATATGTTGTAAGGTTGCATCTCTTTCTTGTTTTTAAAAATGGTTTCTGCCCAAGCAAAATTTATTCATTTATTCTTCTAGCCAAAACTCAATATCAAACTCGTCATTTATCAAAGTTGCATCTTTTTACCTGTGTATTTCAGAAACTTATTTATCTTTTTTTTATCATCAAATATGCTCTAAAATCTTCAACTGTTTTTTCAACTTAATTTGTAGTAATTTTGTAAAAAAAAAGGTTATATTTTTAGTTTAAAATAATTTTTTTTTGTTGATATACACTTTGAGTTAAAAAAAAAACATGTTTTTTTCCTTTGACATTTTTTTGGATCCAAATAACGTGTTTTTTTTGGTTTTTTGGTGTTTTTCTCCTTTCTTTAAGTAATTTTTTTTTGCATAAATTTTTTGAATAGTTTTCCTTTATTCTAGTATATTTTCAGTATATGATCATTAAAAGCACCATTACTTGTATAAACACTAATTTAACTTATATTTTTAATAAATAAAATAAAATTAGCTATAAGTTATTTATATATCTAGGCATAATGTATGGAAATGTTTATTTGTCATGTTTTACTTCTTAACGACTGTGATACTCTCATTATATATAAAAGCTATTCTTATCCTATAAGATAGTTACCATTTTAATTTTGACAATGTAAAGGTATTAGTAAATAATACCAAACCATCTTAATATCAGACTTTAAATGCTCAAAAAATTAAGCAATCTATCAAGAATATTTACTTCTTTCTATAAAGTGGAGTAATTTAATCTTACATTGTTTGTTTGTTATATTTGTCAAAAATATATATATTGCTAGTAGGCCCTTATAAAAAAGCCCTATACTGAACTTAATTTCAAGGAAAAATTAAAAATTTTGAATTATCATTGTTTACTGAGTTTCCCCGACCACCTTCATCTGATGATTCGTAATTTATTTAAAATTTATTTATTTATATGCATTTTTTTTCTAATCATATAATTTATTTGACTGGACATTTTCATTTAGTACTATATCAGGACACTTGCAAAATTTTTAACATGCTTTATTGTTAAAGTTCAATTTTTAGAAATAATCTTGTGGCAAAACAAAAATTTAACTTTTCCTATTTTGTTAATTTGGTTCAGAGGTTTAAATAAATGGGCAACTAAGGTTTTATTTCTGCCCCCTGTATGGAGAGCTTAATCATAATTAATTACCAACAAGAAGAACAATAACTCAATAATATAAAGATTTCCTTTCTCTATATATTTCACACACACTGGCTTGTAAATTTTAAACTCCATTTAAACTCCATTATTTATTGAAAACAACTATCGCAATACTATTGACATTCTTATGTTAATAAATGGCGACCCTCTTACTGAGTCCTCTACTTTATGTCTTCTTTGATTATTGTTTACTATTGATCTTTCATTTGGGCTGGTTTTTCTAATGATGCTCTTTCTCTTTTAGACATACTCCAAAAATGCCTTTTAAATTTAGTCAAAACCGCTCTATCTGAGTGGGTCCAACTATCTAAGTCTCATTTGTTTACTGCATATGTTCTTGCATGCTATAAAAACTTTTATTCTTGTTTCTTTCCTCACATTTCAACTGTTTACAAGTCTCTCCCATCTTCATATTTTTCTGACGCATACAGCCTACAACTTTTTAAGTTTTTAATTATTTAAGTCAATTCTTTAACTCATCTTTAAATTGTTTCCTTGCTCTATTACTTTTTTTTCCTAGTAACTCCTAACTTAATAGTGGTTACTTGCAGCCTTGGTGGTAGTGAATCAAAATAAAAAATATATTTATATCAAATATTAAATGTTATTAAGTGCAATAAATGTAAATAAACAATGTTTATTGTCTCAATATATAACTTTAAAATCAATTATGATAAATTTGAGGGAGGAAAAAATATTAGGAAGTTTTTTACAGGACTGCTCCAACCGTGTTAACCTTTAAGCGTACCAAAATAAAAAGAATTTCAGTAAATTTCAGTAAATTTCAGTATTAAATGTCTTATTTAAATCTGAAATTAAGACATTGCTATTAAAATTAAATGTAAATAATTATTTAGGTAATTAGTTTAAATAATAAATTTTTAAATGTTTCCACAAAAAAAACGGACATCTGCATTTTTTTTCCCTAAAAAACATATCACATCTCTATATACACTAAAACCCAAATTCAGAAATGTAAAATATTATTAAATTTATTGATAGTCAAATACTTTGACTATCAATAAATTTATTTTTCAAAACATTCATAAATAACCTTTAAAATTTGATAACCCATCAAGTTTAAAATAAAAACCAGATTGTTCAATTTTTTTTCATTCTGAGATAATGGCAAAAAGTGTTTTCCAGTAAATCGAATAGCTAAAAATTAAAAAAATAAATTTAAACAATAGATATCATCAAAAGAATGTTCAAGACAAAAATTTGAAAATTGTGCTTTTTTGATCTTTTTTTAATACAAAGTTATAAATGTTTGTTATAAATTTTAAAATTTATTTAAGAATAAGTTTTTTAATTGCTATTTACAGTAACTTTTTTGCATTTAGATATTAGTAGACCTATAAAACCAGCTACAGGTGTTGCAGGTGATTGCCCTGTAACTAAAGTTTTAGATCATATGACTTTGAAAGGTGGTGTAGATGCAGGAGCATATAAGGATCATGGTAAAGTTAAAGATATGGACATTTGCAGAAGAATTTGCTGTGAAATGACAGAATGTCATTTAGCCTTCATGCTTGGTTCAAACTGTTTTTCTGTGAAATGTGCTAGTGTGGATGCATGTCGCGCTCAAAAAGCAAAACCTTCTGCATACTATCCAAAGGTAGTTTTTTTATTAATTTTCTTAAATGTAAGTGTTTAATAATAGTACAAATAAACAATTATTTTAAAAAGTTTTAAGAAATGTGAAATTATAATTACCAGAAAGTAAAATAAAAACAAAAGACATTTAAGATAAAGTTTACCTCATATGCGAAAGGCTCTGAGTTCAATCCCCACCTCATCCCTGTTAGTACTGTACTCAACTTGTTTTTCCATGCAGTGGCCTTATTTGTCAAGGTTCGTGTTTCGGAGTTATAGAGTTGAGAGAGGTTTGTAATTGCAACTGAAGTAGCCTCCTCAACTGTAGTGGCTTTTTCGGCTTTAGGGAGGTGAATTAACAGAGAAAAAAAATTGACATAAGTATAAGTTTCTCATTACAAAATTCTGTCCTTATTTTAAATGAAAATAGAAAACTAGGCAGAAACAAACAATTGTTTACATACCTGCTTTACAAGATTGCCCACATTTATGGCAGATCACAAAACTGAGATTTAAAAAAAAAAAAGAAATATATATTATAATCAAAGTTTACACAGTCTATGCGTTTTTAACCTAGTTTGGTGTATCAAAACTAATGAGGCTGCACAGTGATACACAGTGATGGGTACAGTGATGGGTATTCATCACAGTGATGTGATAGTGATGGGTATTCATAAAACTACAATGAATTTGAGAAAAGGTAAACAATTTATTTTCAAAGGAGAAAATCAAAAAACTATAAATTAACTGATTTTTGAAATTTGGATTTGATTTTATGTGTTAAAATTGTTTTTGGAATAAAGCCATAAGGCACCCCTTCCCCACTTGACTTGCCCCACCTACTTGCCCCCACCTGCTTGACCCCACCTGCTTGCCCGGTAATTTCAAAGATGGGCATGTATCAATATCTTCAGCAATGATAACTGAACTACAGAAGAAAGCTTTACCTTTGTTCTTAAATGAGAAATAAATGACATCATGTTCTTCTAACTTGTCTGGAAATGAAATATGTCTATGCTAATATATTTTAAAACAATGGAACCATTAAAATAATATTAAATCTTTCCTTTTTTTTTTTTTTAACAATTATTGTTAACCAAAGTAAATTAATATAAATTAATAGTTATGAAAAAAAAGTACATAATAGCATCAATATAATATATTTATCACATGTGGCTTTCAAAAAAAATATGTTTATAGGGGTTAATGTGCCACCCCCAATCCCTGTTGTCTTTTACTCATTCCCCTGGCCTCCCAAGATACTGAAAATCAATTAGCCACTGTCCTTGATATCAACAAGTTAATATAGTCTATATTTTAATTTATACATATCTGTATAAATTAAAATATAGTCCATATTTTAATTTATACATACTGGTGAATGGATGCTGCATGACTCAGATTGAGCATGCTTGGTTTTCAAAATCTTTTTCATTACCTCCAACTTCATTTTTTATCAAATATAAATAGTTAGCATATATATCAATGTGTATTTTCTTATAATGCAATCTTTACGTTAAGTTGGAAAATAAGACTTAAACAGATTGGTCATAAACTTGTTGTGCACTGTCTTTTATGGTCTTTTTTAGTCTTAAATGTTATATTTTTTTGATAAAATTTAGATTTACGCGTAATGTCTTGAAAGCAAACAGGCTCCTGTTAAACATATCCAACTAGAAAAACATTACTTTTTACATTTTATACGTGTTTTATGTCCAAAACATTTTATACATGTATGCAAATTATTACTTTTAGTTAAGTTATTACTACCATACTTGGTGCCTGTAATTTGTATTTTAAAAGATTGCAGTATTTATAGTTCACAGATTGCAAGTATTTATAGTTTAAAACACTTTCAGTTTGAACAATTTTTTTTGTTTATTCTGAAAAAAATAGGATGTAACTATAAAATAATTGTTATTTGAAAATTTGTAAATATATTTTTAAATTTTATAAAGTAAATGTGTGACAGCTTAAATTCTTAAGCTGTCGCAGATTTACTTTTTTTATATTAATTTGTGAGAGAAGCATGATCTCAAATCAAAACGTATATCGCAAATTTTAGTTGAAATTACAGGTACTCATAAATTAAAGTCTTGTTATTTGCTTAAAGCTATGTAATTAACAGTGATGGTATCAGTAACAGTTAAACAAAATGATATAAAGCAAAAAGAAAAAAGTGTTTTTATATTTGGTATAACCTAATCAAACAAGCTCAACATTAATAAAAGATTGGATGATAAAGGCTGTTTTAAAGGTATTTGAGGAGATTGGTGCTGATAGTCTTAAAGTTGCAAGAACTCATTGTTTTAAAAAAAAAAAACACAAATAAAAATCCTAGCTCGATATTAGTCGAACTTCAAAACAAATTGCATTGCAGTAATTAAAACGGCTAAGCAATTAAGAAAAAGTAATTACTTCAAAAATATTAATATAAACTATGATTTAATGCTAACTCAACAACATTTTTTCAAACAAATACAATCAATGTAATCCACTTAATAACAATTTATAAACAATAAATTTATTTACAGTTATCTGATACATGAGTCTGTTAAAAGTTTTTAAAAACAATATCCCTTATTTAAACATAAAGTGGTGCATAAACCAAAAAATAAATTTAAACCAGACTTAAAATCTGACTTCAATTGTTTTTGTACTAATACCACTTCCTTAAATGATAAAGTAAATGAATTATGTGACACCATCAAGGCATATTTTCCAGATGTTATCTGCATTGCTGAAACTTGGTTTAACAAACTTTCTGATGCACTTATAGAAAATTACATATTGTATCATTGCGATTGTACAAATGGAAAATTCGGAGGAAGGGTTGTAATTTACCTAAAAATCAAATAAGCTCATATGAAGTCATGTGCCAACTATTTAAACCAAGTTTAAGCTTGTCTAAATTTTGAAATCGAAAAGATTTTAGTAGGTTGCATTTACAAGCTGCTAAATTCAAATGAACTTAAAAATAAATAATAATAAAATTGTAAATATAAAAAATCCCAAAAAATTGATTGTAAAAAAGATCTTTACAGATCTCATAATTACAGGTGATTTTAATTACAACACATTTTAATGGATTTAAAACAAAAAATTACCAGCTGTTGCTCAAGCTGAAAAATTTGTAAATTGTCTTGATGAATATTTTTTAAACCGATACGTTATAAATTCAACATTTCATCCAGCCACTTGTTATGAAATAAACATTCTAGACTTGATAATAGTAAATAATGCCAATGGAGTTGAATTGGATTCAACATAGCGCTCCATTAGGTAACAGAAATCTATAACAGAAAGCTACAATAGAGTAAGAAAAATGCATAGCTAAAAAAACAAAATCAGACTCATATCTACTGCATAGTTATATCAAGAGAAAACGAAAAATTAAAAATTATTTGACATTTATTGAAGATTATAATGCATGCATCATTGTGGACAGAGATGAAAAAAATAACAAAATTTTGTATTCAAGTAAAATCACTGTTACTTGAATGAAATTTTACTCAAGTACAAATAAGCGTTACTAGTCGAAATTTTTACTAAAGTAAAAGTCAAAAGTAGCTCATTAAAAATGTACTCAGAGTAAACATTACCAAATTCCTTTTTAAAAAGCCATTTTCAGGTAACAGATCTGTCGAATAAACAATGTGGTCTATGTGAAGGATGAAGTTAAAGGACTTTTTTGTTCCCAGCCTCTAATCATTGCAATTTTTTGCAAAGCATCTTTATTTGACATAGTTATAAACATATAAATGTTTGTAGTTTGCTCCATGTCTGGAAGTTGGCTTAGTTTTTTTTCTTTGTGTTTGCAGAAACATAGAATTGGAAAATTTCTTAAATATTTTGAGAAGGTATGCGCGTAATGCATTTATGTAAAAAATGCTTTGAATAAATTTTTTTTTCTTATAATAATTATATAATAAATAAATAAGGAGCATTTAAAAAGAAACATCTTCAAAATAAAGCCAGTAATGGTGTAACTAAGATATGTAATTAATTATAAATAAAAAGTTAGTTTTTATGTTTTTTCATAGTACTTGCAAAGTACTATGAAAAAACATGAAAACTAACTTGTTATTTTTTATACAATTGTATAAGAAGTAAACAGAAAATCTTCATGTTAAACTTTCTTTTAAAATTCTTTTTAAAATTTTCTTTTAAAATTCTAAATAAAAGATTGAAATTCGAAACGTCAGCCAGGCACGTTTTTAATTTCTTTGTTACTTCAATTAAAACATCACTGAAGAATATATGCAAACAATTTTATAAAACAGACAATAATTTTTATCAACCAAAAATGATAATTCATATTTTCTCTAATATTAATTACTAACACACAAATTTTTTTACTCAGTTACGTATATGATTTAAAATTTAGCGAAGTACAATACTTTAACAAAAATATACTTAAGCAAAAGTGAAAGTATACATTTAAAAAAATACTTAAAAAGTAAAAATTCACAAAAAAAACTACTCAATTACAGAAATGTGAGTAAATGTAATTTGTTACTTTCCGCCTCTGATTACGGATCAAAAGCAGATTGGTACTTTGAATTTCTTTCAATCAGAATTTATAGAAGATAACAACGATATTTTATCAAACTTTGAAAAAAAGTGTTTAAATTCACTACATTTTGTTAGTATTACCTTAAATGAAGTTATTAATATGATAAATGCTATAAATTCAAGAAAATCAGTTGGACGAGATGGAGTTCATCTTTTTGTATTAAAAAAATGTGTAAGTGCTTTTTTTAATCCATTAACTTTATCATTTAACAAATCAATTTACTAAGGTGTTGTACCTATTTCATGGAAGACAGCAAACATAACGTCCTTGTTTCAAAATGGCAGTAGAAATAAAGTTTCAAATTATAGGCCAGTTTCCTTGATTTCAATTCTTTGAAAAACTTTAGAACATTTAATATCTAACTAACTCTTACATTATTTAAAGGCTAACAAAATATTATTTTCTAATCAGCATGGTTTTAAAAAAGGTAAAAGTTGCACAACTAATCTCCTATAATATATGAATACAGTAACAACAGGTGTTTCAAATGGTAAATCATTTGATATCCTTTATACTGATTTCACATAAGCTTTTGACAAAGTTTCAGATAGAAGATTAGCACCAAAACTTAAATCATATGGCATTACATCTACGTCATTGAAGTGGATAATTTTTGGTAGGAAGGAGATAGTTGTACTAGGAGAAAGTGTATCATCATAGGTGGTCATAGTAAGCGATGTAACACAAGGATCTGTGCTTAATCCAATTTTATTTTTAAAATGCATCAATAATCTTCAAAGTCAACTTACAAACCAATTGTTGTTTGTGTGCAGATGATTGTAAAGTAATAGCTGAAGCTAATAATGAAAAAGATGTGCATGCTTAACAAAATGACATTGCTATATTAGAAAAATGGATAATAAACTGGAAGATGCAGTTTAATTTAAAAAAAAGTAAAATCATGCATATTGGTAACAAAAATAAAATTTATAAATATTTCATAACTTAAAGCAATAATTTAAAGCAAAAATTAATTACTACTTAATTAAATAATTACTAAATTGGAAAAGGATCTATGCGTAGTAATTTCAAATGACTTTAAATGGGAATCACAAATCAAAATTGCATCATCTATTGCGAACTAAAAATTTGGTATAATATGCAAATTATTAAAGTATAAAGATAGTGAACTAATAAAATTACTGTGTTGTAGTTATTTACATATTTTCAATTAATTCACCTCTTAATTCACCTCCCCAAGACTGAGAAGGCCACTACAGGCAAGGAGGCTACTTAATTTTGGTTATAACCCTTTCTCAACTCTATAATTCCGAAACACGAAACTTTACAAACAAGGCTGCTGCGCGGAGAAACAAGTTAACTCTTTCGTTACCGGGCTTGGCAACCTTATATTACCGTGAGAAAAAATGATGTTTTAACCAAACTACCATCAAAATTATATAATGGGTTTAAAAAATGTTCAACTTCTTTAAAAATTGGCTCCTTTTTAACCTAGCAATTTATTTTTCACAAAATAGAATAAAAATTAAAAAAAAATATTTCATCAGGTTTTGTGATCAATAATGGTGCATTTTGAAAACTAATTAATATTTTAATTGTAAATTCAATGAAATAAAAATGTATCTTACTTTCATCAGATTATTTTCAAATTTATAGTCAACAATAAGAAATTTTTAATAAGTAATTCTGAAAAGTTTCGGTCTTAAACATAATTTTATCATAAGTTATTATATTTATTAGGTTAGTGAGTCTTTTGGTCAAAAATTTTAATTTTGATGCTTCCTTCAAAAAAGAATAAATAAAACTAATAAAATCAAAAAGTAACAACAGTAAGACATGTCAAATAAAAAAAAACATGCGTATATACTAATTTCTACACTAAATCTAGCACTGTGTGATAAATTTCAAAGCAGCTATCAATATGTAGCCCTGGCTCACCAGGGCAAGTTTTGCATATATGCACAGTTTTTAATGGTTTGCCATTGTTATTAAAAATTTGTCTTGCACAACAAACCCTGGATATTTAAGGTGGACGTTTATCTGTTGCATCGTGTGATGGCTGTTTGGTTCCTGGGAAATGATGCCCAGTATGCCTGTGTGTAGTACCATCTGGAACAAGTATTTTGTTTAATTTCGGTGAAAATAAAAATATTACTCTCATTACGTCGTAAAGAAAATCTAAGAAAGTGGTACTCTTGTGGCAAGTGTACTTTACAAAAACTTTATGGCTATTTAAAATACCCGGAGAAATAAGCCTTAATGCTAGTTTCCGATACTACTTGTAATTTTTCCGTAACAGGTGCAAGCTCTGGAGTTGTTGGTCAACACGATCTACACCACCTTTATGGCTATTGTATTCTTTTACACAAAGTGGTTTTTGAGTATTTAATCCACGAGTATTTTCAATAAGTCTCATAGATGGTTGGTGACGTGTTGACAGCATGTAGACAACATTTTGTTTACCTGAAGCTTTATCTTTTGATGCACAGAATTTGCAAGCCAGCATTTGGCTTTTTTTATCTTTATTTTTATAGAAAACTGTATCTTCTTTTTCTAAAACCTCATTAAGAATATCTTTTAAATAATTATACCGATTTGACCTAATTGTGCGACATAGATGTGTATTGTTATCAAGAAAATACTTTGCAAGTGTTGGACTAGTGTAATAATTGTCTTTATAAAGAGTGTGACCTTGACCAATAAAAGGTTCCATTAGCACAGATGGTATTCTTGCTGATGAAGGCATCTGATCATTTATATCATCATCAGCAAACATTCCTTTTCCACAGTATTCAAGGAAATCTAGTGTTATTCCTTCTGAAGTTGCTAGTTCATATAACTTAATACCAAAACAAGCGCGCTTGATTTTAATATATTGACGGAAATGTAAGCAACCCTTATAAAGGACAAGCGATTCATCAACACTAAGATTTTTTCCTGGTTTATATACAGTTTTGAAAGGGTTATGTAGAATGTTTATGACTAGTCATACTTTGTGAAGGCGATCTCTGTTTTCATCAGTTACATCATAGTTTTCATCTTCATTGTTATTAAAATGAAAAAATCTCAATAATATATTGAAACGATTTTGACTAATAACTTCTGAAAAAATTGGAGTATTATACAATGCATCTTTTGACCAATACATACTAGGTTTGGGTTTATAAATAACTCCCATTAAAAAAATGACAGCAATAAAGGTTTTAATTTCTGCAACATTAGTTTTCTCCCACAAAGAAGAGTTATCTGGGTTGGCAGTAAAAAATTGACTTGCATACCCATTGGTTTCTGCAACTAACAAAGTTACAAGTTCATCTGGAAAGTAGATATCAAAAAAATCAAGACAAGTTGGGTTTTGCCCCATTCTAGCATGTAAACCCTCTTGAAAAAGTTCAGGGAAATCCATTAGATTAGCAGGAACATCTTTCTTAACTTTTTCCCAAGTTGACAGAGGAAGTTTCTGATTATTATTAAGTACTTTACCACAACTAGGCACTCTACCATGATTACTCACTCTATCACGATGATGCACTCTACAATGGTTTTGCATACTACCTCGGACAATATTATTAAGTATATTGACATTAAATGCAGCATCATCAGCAATAAGATCATCAGCAACAGCATCTCTTTTGTTAGCATGTATAGGATCAGCAACACTTTTAACAGAAGTTAATTTATTATTACATAGAATACCAGTACCCCCTCGAATAGGTACACGTCTGGTACCTCCACCTCTTGTGCGTGGGCTCTTTTTATAAGTGACAAAAGTCTCATTTTCGCTGTCACTTGTGCTTGAAACACAAAAGCTTTCACTGTCAGTATTGTTAAATTATGACAAAATAGAATTATAAAAAGAAACAACAGCTTCCAATTTATCGACATTGTTTTTATTTGTAATTTGAACTTTTCTTTGAATATTAGTAGATGTCATACTGTTTTCAACTTTAAATTCTAATATTATCTTCATCATTGCTATTTTATTTTATTCTAATATCATCTTCATCATTGCTATTTTAAATTCTAATATCATCTTCATCATTGCTATATAAGTTATCATCTTCATCATTGCTAAAGTCACTATCACCAAGATCAATATCTTGATTGCTATCTTCGTCACTTTCTCTAAGAACAAAGTTTAAAATTTCGTCCATATTTGAGATTTTTGGGCGTATACACAATGAACTAGCGATTTTTCAAAATTGAGTATCAACTTATCTAACAAAGCTTTTTTTATTCGGTTTTTGCTGTATGATTAGATTATTATTCTAGTTTCTATTAAGCTAAGTTTTAAAGTCGCTAAGTTTTTTTTTTTAGTTTTAAATTAAAAAAAAAAAAAACTAAAACTTTTCAAGTTTTAAACCAGGGGTTGAAAAAAAACAAAACTCCTAACCGTTAAAACTCCTACTGGTATTTTAACGACATATTTTACTAACCACTATGCGGGGTATCGGTAACGAAAGGGTTATTGTGCATAACTTCCAGGGATGTGGTGCATACATTCCTGCATTTAGAATTTGCAATACAGGTTTGGAGTCCTTATCTTTAAAAAGGTATAAGTATAGTAGAAAATATTTAAAAACAAGTAACAAAATCTGTACCTGAGCCATGCCATCTATCATATAATAAATGGCTAGAAAAATGAAATTGACATCTTTAAAACAATAAAGAATACGAGGAGATATATAATCATACAAATGTACAAATGGTGTTATGATATAGAAAAAATAACTTGGAAAATATTCGCTCAACATTTGTGCCCTATAAATTTTTCAGGTTTGTCTTCAAGCATTCGGGGTAACAAACATCATTTATTCACGATGAGAAATATTTAAATTGAAATTATGGTTGTTTTTTTTTTACAAATTACACAGTCAAATTCTGAAACAAATTACCGATTGAAACAGTTGAAGTTAAAAACTCAACTTATTTAAAGCTAAACTAGACTTATATTGAGTATATTTAACTTTCTTGTTTTGTCTGTAAAAGATTTAACATGGCGTTAAATCTCAATAGTATTTTATTATTAACATTTTTAAGCAAAACGTTTATTTTGGTGTTTAGTTATAAGAAAAAAAGTTCTGATATACTCATTTTTTCAAACCTTATATTTCTTCTTTAGATATCCTATATCAGAAAAGTTGGAACTAATCAACTTTTACGTAGCACAATTCCAGTTTCTTCACATAATGCAACAATAACAGCAAACATTCCTGCTGTAATAACTCATCAGCTCAAAGTCCCCCCAGTGATCCCATTAAACTCACAGGCTGTTCACTCTATTCCTCAATTAGGAGCTGACTTGACACATGCTGTTCATATTGAAGTACCATTAAAAGAATCAACTCAAAATGTAATATCTTTTAAAAGCAATGATCATTCTTCTGCAAATGTTCAACAACTTGCTGTTGTCACTACAAACTCTGTTAAAGGTTTGTATTTATTCATTTTTTTGATATGTTATCTAAACCAAAGCTCCCACAAATACCTTGATTAACAAAAAGTTTCTTGAGCAAAAAATGATTTCCCGGTTTGTTTGACAATGTTGTATCTTTACAAAATATTAAAATCTTCATAAGACTTAATATTTAATAACTCATCACTTAATAATTTATAATCTTTATATTTAAGTATTAAAACTTGTTTGTTTTTTTAAACTTTTTCAGTTTTTGCTAAAATATTTTCTTGTTATAGTAGTGGTGGTTAATAAATTTTTTTTTTAATTTAAAACATTTTTACAAATGCAAAACTTCCATTAAATATCTATTAACTTTAATTATACTGTGTTAAATACTTGGACTATTGATTATTAGATATAGGCTAAGAACTTAGAGCATAAAATCAATAGATTTTTTTTTAACATCTTCACTTCCAACAAGGCTGATTGCAAATTATATGAATCAAGAAAAAAAGAAAGGAGCAAATTCCAAAGATCTGAGTGAACTGAGAATAATTTATTGATTTCTTGTAATAATAAATAGTCTGAACCTGATCTGACCTCTAGTAATTAAAAAGAGCTACTTTCAACAAACAGCACCTTAAAATATTGGGCATAATGTTTTGTAAATGCATTTGGAAAAATATTATATCTAACAAAATACTAGAGATAAGGGTGAGCATAGGTTTTATAGTTAGAGAGTCTAGTTAGTTAATGATCTCACACTACATCAAAATTGATTTAAACATTTAAACAGAATACATACATACATAAAGTAACTTTTTGGTGAACCAACATCGTGCAAGAGGTTCGACAGAACACAAACATAAACATGAACATAAACAGGCAGAACACTAACATACAGACAGCAAGAGGTTTTGACAGAGCAGAAGCATACATCATTCAATTAAATTACTTAATTGAATGATTAACTGAATGATTGAATGAGTACTTACTTAAATGTAACACAAGAATGAATTTTAGTAGATGGGCAGGAGATGCTAGCTCTTTTGAGCAGCATCTATTATAGTATTTATAGAAAAGAGAAAGAAAAGCAACATTATGACGATGTGACAATGGTTAAAGGTTGGCTGCAAGAGCATCATTTGAAGATCCGCTCCAGATATGGCAACAGTATTCCATACAAGGATAGACTTGAGCTATATAGAGATAAAAAATAGAATCCTGAGTATGAAAATGGCGAGCAAAATAAAGAGATGCAACTTTAGCAAATGCTAATTTTGCAATGGATTTAATATATGGTTTCCAAGATTGTTAGTAAAAGCTAATCCTAGAAGACAAAAGGTTGATGACTCATTGAGTACATTACCATTCATAAATATAGGAAGATCTAGATAAAAATGATAGATTGCTTGCCAAAACCAAACCCTCAATCTATGTCTTAGCACTTCCTTGTTGCAGCTGGATATAAGATAGTTAATGTAGCAACACCCGCATTGTTACAATGATCTCAAAGCCAACAGCAGCAGGCTTCAAGATAAATGTAACAATACTGATATTCGAGGAAAAAAACTAGACGAATAAGAGTTTTTGGAGCACCTTCCTATATTTATGAACGGTAATGTACTCGATGAGTCTCCTACCCTTCATCTTCTAGGATTAACTCTTACTTCTGATCTTACTGGGAAACCTTATATCAAATCCGTTGCAAAATTAGCATCTGCTAAAGTTGCTTCTCTTTATCAAGCTCGTCACTTTCTTACTCTGGATTCTATTCTCTATCTCTATAAATCTCAAATCTGGCCTTGTATGGAATACTGTTGCCATATCTGGGGCGGATCTTCTAATAATGCCCTTTCTCTTTTAGACAAAGTGCAAAAACGCATTGTAAACATAGTTGAGCCTGCTCTTGCAGCTAACCTTCAACCTCTGTCGCATCGTCGTAGTGTTGCTTCTTTTTCTCTTTTCTACAAATATTCTTTTCTAAAATTCATTCTCGTGTTACTCGTCATTCAATCAAGTCTCATCTATTTTCTGTGACTGAACCTAAGTGTTCCAAAAACTCTTATTCGTCTAGTTTTTTTCCTGGAACATCAGTTCTTTGGAATTCACTTCCTTCATCTTGCTTTCCTGATTCATATAATTTGCAATCTTTTAAGTTGTCTGTCAATCGTTATCTTGATCTCCAATCTTCATCTTTTCTCCTCCAGTAACTTCCAACACTAATTAGTGGTTGCTTGCAGCCTTGTTGGAAGCGAAGATAATTAATAAAAACAAAAAAAAACAACCTAGGAACAGTCACAGTAAAAGGATGAGACTTAATTGAGTGACAAGTAACACAAGAATGAATTTTAGTAGATGTCACAAGAGGCACTAGCTCTTTTAGCTGAATTGATTGAATATAACTAAAATACAAAACTTTCATTGCATCTGCTCCGTTTTTTAATTTTTCTGTTTAATACTTACTAATAATTGCGTATTTCTATTTGTTTTTCATGTAAACAAACATGCATGTTGCAATTAAACAAACATGGTAGCAACAAAAGAAAAAAGAAAAAGATAAGCTAATCACTTGTGTCAAAAAAGATGAGGAGTTTATTCTTGTGTCTAGGATTGTTGATGAGTTAAGTCTGGATCAGGTTTTAATGGGCAAAGATCCAGACCCAACTTGTATATACAGGTCTGAGTTTGGGTTGGATATCAACATGCTCTATCTGGACCCATACCCTTCTCTGGGTTTTGACCTGCTTTGGTCAAGCCAAACAAGAACAAAAACTACTGGGTTTTTGGTATTGAGTGCATGTTTCACAATTTCTGAAAACACTTGAGATTTAATTGAAGTAGTTTTTCGCAGTTTTCAATAAAATACTTAAAAACTAAAATATCAGTTGGCCATAAAACATTTCAATAATTTTTTTAATTTAAAAACTTAATTTTCTGTGAAATTTTTATCTTTTAATTTTAGATTTAGTTAAAGAGATTTTATAAAATTTTTATATAAAATATTTTCTTCATTGAAGTGTTTTTCTTGAAAATACTTGTACTTCATCTGTTTAAATTATTTTTAATAATTTTTTTAAATATAATCATGTCACACCAGTACAGGCTCCTAGATCTAAGCTAAGCATGAAGGTTTGTGACCTTTGGTGAATAATGTTAATAAATGACTAATTTTTTTATTTTATTTCTTTATTTATTTTGTTTTATTTGTATTTTATTTATTATTCAATATTGTATTCAAATTTACTAACAAATTTTATGATTGAAGATGAGAAGACACCTAAAGTGAATCTGCAATCTGTAAACATTTCATCCCCAATAGCACCTTCACCTTTACCTGTGGTTTCTACAAAAAAAATGCCATTGATTGCAGGTGAAAAATTGCAATCACATCTGACAAATTCTGTTTCGAACAGTAGCGATCAGGAGGTTGAAGATGAAGACCTACTTCATGCGTTACACTCCCTTAATACAAATACAAATGTTGTTCAAACAACTGAAAATGCAACTAAAGAAGACACAAAGTGTACTCCTGGACTTCTCAAATCAAATGTAACATTGAAAGGTGGTCGTAATTCTGGTGAGTTCATTGAGATAAAAGGGTTAAAAGACATGAAAGAATGCGTAGAAAGATGCTGTGTTGATAGAGATAAGAAATGTAACCTAGCTTTTATGTTGGGTGACAGCTGCTATTTAGTTTCTTGTAAAAATAAAGATTTATGTAGAACAATACCAGCACCTCCAACTAAGTTTAATCCTTTGGTTCAATATGTCCGTGGATTAGAAGAAGAACCAATACCTACCACTTTAGGTAAGAAATGTTTATAAAATATAATTAAATATAACATGAAATATTTATTGCTTTGATAATTCTGGTATTATTAAGTTTATTATTTTGCTAAATCATTTTATCTAAAATATCTCAAAAAAGTTATTAAGTTTTGAAATTTTAATTTTTTTAATTTAAATTTTTTGCTGCATTTTAAAAATTATTTTAAATTATTTTGTACTCAAACTATTTTTTATTTATTAAGATACTTATGTTGTGAAACCATTTTTAACATTCACACTGTATTAACAACTAACACAAGACACTCCATAGTGCTTTTTTTATTGTGGTTTTGATTTAGTACTTATAAAACATTAAAAAAATTGTTAAAAGTTTAGTTTATGTATATGTTTAATTATCAAACCAGTTATCAATTGTCAATTGTTATATTTTAAATAGTTTCACTATCAAGCCAGTTAAATAAAATGCAAAAAAAAACTCTTTATTTGACTTAAAAATGCTCATATGTATTATACGATCTGTTTGATACATATAATAAATATAAGCATTATAAAAAAACTCTTCATTTGACTTTAAGATGCTCATATTTATTATATGTATTATATGTATTCTTTTTTCGAAAATAGTAATAAACAATTTGAATTTTAAAAACATCATTCCACTGATCAGGCAATTATTCAACTTGTTCAAAATATTTTTTAAATATTCAATTAGAATAAATAAATGTTATGTGTATTTATTGATCTTTGACATATAAGATAGCATGATTGATATTTTTTTTATCTAAAAAAAACTCTCTATTGGCCCTTTGCGGTCCAATGTCCCGCGTGACAGGACATCATAAAATTGACGTTGCGGTCTAATCTTCTGTGCCACGGGACATGTACTATGTTGATGTTTATACAGAAAAAATTATCTTTTTAAGCTCACCTGGACAATTGACTGGTTCAATTGGTAATATTATAGTGTGTTTTCAACTTAGTGCTTTTCAGTACCATTTTTTAATCGTCTAACCTTACTTATACTCTTAGAAATTTTTATAAAAATTTATTTACAAATGGCAAGGAAATGTTATACAACTGAAGAAGTATTGAAAGCATTGGATGAATCAAGTAGTGAATCTGAGACTGAATTGTCAGAGATATCAGAGTCAGTGAAAGATATTGAGCTAAATGAAATTGATGATAATGGACCTGCTTTGAACATAGGATACAAAAGTAGTGCAAGGTACTCTAGCATTTGAAGCATTACCGTTCACATTAGCAAATGTAGGCCCTCAGCATTCAATAAACTTAACATGTGAACTAGATTTTTTCAAGTTATTTTTTTTGTATGAGTTACTTGCAGATATTGTAAAAGAAACTAATCGTTATGCTAAGTCAAAAATTGAAAATAACAATTTGGAATCTCATTCTATTTGGCATAAGTGGAAAAATATGACACTTGAAAAAATTCATGCTTACTTTGGTACTATTTTAAATATGGCTCTGAATGAAAAATCAAGTAAATAACATTATTTTTCTTGTGATTGGCTGAACTGTATGCTATTTTTTTCAGCAGTTTTCTCTTGAACTAGGTTTCTTCAGATACATTGGATGCTGCACGTATCCCCACCATCACATCCATCTAATGAATTGAATAGACGTACAAGCAAAGTGCATCGTATTGTATCAGAAATGAAAAGCTCCTGTTCTAGAAATTTTGTCCCATCTTGTAACATTGCAGTTGATGAAAGTACTATTGGGTTCAAAGGTAGAATTGCATTTTGCATGTACAATCCACAAAAATTCACAAAGTGGGGCATTCGTGTTTTTGTCTTAGCCGATAGTAAAACAGGTTATATTAGTTTTTTTGAACCATATTATGGTTTAGCAAGACCTATGATGCAGTTTACAAGTCAAATCCTGTTGCATTTGTGTGATGAGCTTTTAGAGGCTGCCCAAGGTAGTGGTTATCACTTATTCACTGACAGATTATATACTAGTTTTCCTCTTGCACAAGAGCTTATCAAAATGAACATACAAACTACAGGGACAATAATGAAAAATAGAAAACAGTTAACTGAAGATATAAAAAAACTCAAATTAAAGAAGCACGAAATTTCTGCATATGTACACTCTTCCAATGTTATGGTTTTGGCATGGTAGAACAGGTGACAGGTTCTAATGCTGAGTACTTTCCATGATTCAACATCTGAAATTGCAAAACAAAGAACAAAGCAAGGTATTGTAGACATTGATAAACCAACTGTTATTGTAAATTATTCGAAACATATAGGAGCTGTTGACAGAGCTGATCACTATTGTTTCAGCTATTCATTTCTACACAAGTCTTTAAAATGGTAGAGAAAAATATTTTTCTGGTTGTTAGAAGTTGCAGTTGTAAATAGTTATATATTGTTCAATAAATTTTGTGAAGGCAATGTTAAAAACAAACTTCGACACCTACAGACAAAACTAATTGAGCAATTAGTAGAAGCATGTTGTAACATTCAAGAATGAAGAGGAAAGTGATTATCTTTAGATGACAATGAGCGCCTCAACCAAAAGCCACATTTTATTGCACAAATTCCAAGTAATAATTCCAAAGACTGTTTAATCTGCAGTGACAGAAAAACACTGAGTGGTAGAAGAAAAGCTTTATACTATTGTAAAACCTGCACTAGAAAACCAGGACTACACCCTACCGATTGTTTTGAACTTTACCATACAAAGACTGACTTTCGTGTAAAATAGGATATCCAAAGTCAATATTGTAATTTACTTGTGAATAAAAACAAGTGTTTGCATATATATATATTTTTTTCTTTATAGTGCTTGCACTTAGGTCATAGTGTTTTTGGCAGTATAAAAATTAAACAATTTAGTGCTACACTCAAAACCAATTTTTTATGAAAAATAAAGAAAAGCCATGGGTCAAACATATTTTTTCTGTTATGATTAAGGCCAATAAGTAAAAAAAAAATTTGGACCTGATAGGCAAAAAAGTATTTTTTTAAAGACCTCAAAGGGGTAATATTATATAACTTAATCATTTATATGTTATGTTATATTAATTTATTAATGTTATATAACTTAATCATTTATAAATAAATAAAAATGTTATTATTAAAAATTAGAGTAATCTTTATCTTAAAAATGCTCTATGAGTTTAATATAACTAAATTGAAATATAATTAATTATTATAATCTAGCTACTACTACTTCTACTACTGATATGCCTGTGACATCAGCAGATCAAACTACAATAAAGCCCACAATAACAGCAAAGAGCAGTAAACCTAAACTTAAACCAAAACAAAAGTCATGTGTTAGTCAACCAATAGTTAAAGATCATTCATTGCGTGGTGGAAAGAAAGCTGGGAAATTCCAAATTTTTAAAAGTGTCACAGATATGCCTACATGTATCAATAGATGTTGCCAGCAACAGAAGCAATGTGATGTTGCTTACATGGAAGATGGGAAATGCTATGGCATACAATGTTTTAAAAAATCTGCCTGCACTGCTGTTGATCTTCGAGATAATGAAGTTGAACCAAGGTTTGCCTACATGGATCATTTCTTAGAAAAAGTCGAAGAAGAAGAAGCTGAGGAAGAAAAGTCAACAGGTGAACTTAAATTTTGCGCAACTTATTAAAGGTTACTGTATTTTGAATTTATTTATTATAAAACCATTTTTAGATCTTGATGTTAGTGAAGAAAGCGCTTGCTTAAACACTGAAATAGTGAAAAACAAAACATTAAAAGGAGGTCTTAAAGCTGGGAAATTCCATCCTGTTGGAAAGAAAGATATGAAATCTTGCATTAATGTTTGTTGTGACCGACCAGATTGTGACATAGCTTATCTTTTAAATGGTCATTGCTATGCAATCGAATGCAGTGATGTCAAACTGTGTCAAACCACTGGAGAGCCAGCTACAGCTAAAGACAGCGTTCAACTAGCTTATATGAATAAAGCTGGTCCAGGCGAAAAGCAAAGAGGTAAGTTTAACTTTTGTCAAATGTTATTTGTAGAAAAAGCTACTAAAATTTATTTAAAATGCGTCTGTTTCGAAAAAAAAAAAAAATTCAAAATTGTTTCAAGAAACATCTTTTATAAAAGAAATAATGTTATAATATTATTTCTAGAGAAATAATTTTTTTGAAATAGCTTTAACAAAAAAAAAAAAAATTATAAATTTTTTAGTTGCAATTTTTGTGATTTAACTTAAGTTTGTAAACCAAAAAAAGTTGTTCATAAGTATTCATTATATTCTTAATAATAAGAAGGTAAATTTTTGATAAATTATAAAAAAATTGATTGTACAGCACAATAAGTAAAAATGTTGTAACAGCTATATTATGTATAATTTTTTATATAATGTTATGTGATAGCTAACTTTTGCAATTGTCTGAAATATTTTTATATTATACAAGTTTATTTTTAAATTAATCAAGGTGGTAAATCATTCCAAGCATCTATAACTACAATTTATACATCTACAACTTTAGAAAAAAAAAATCTATCATTACTCTTACAGTATGTCTTTGTCTAACTTGTGGCAATGGCTACGTTGTTTATTCAACAAATATATCTTTATAACTTTTCTTTATTTTAAATTTAAAAATTCCTTATTTTATATTGAAAAATTCTCATAAACAACGCACTTCTAGTGTTGTTAAGTTCATTATACATAATCTTATTTTATTTAGTTTATTGAGATATTTATTAAGATACAAATTTTGTTAATCGAAATCTTTATTTGGCCAAAAATCTTCTTGTTTTAAAAACTTTATTTTAACAATAGAAAGGGCACCATTCGACGATCCGCTCCAAATATATGGCAACAGTATTCTATACAAGGAAAGATTTTTTGAGATTTATTGAGATTAAGAATAGAATCTGAAGCAAAAAAGTAGCAAGCACGATAAAGAGAAAAAATAAAGAAAACCTTCTCAGATGCTAATTTTACAATGGATTGATATATGGTTTTCAAGACAGATCATAAGTAAGAGTTAATTCTAGAAGACAAAGGGTAGATGACTCATTGAGTACAATACCTTTCATAAATATAGGAAGATCTAGATTGTTGTGATAACGGTTAGCCAAAAAAAATTAAGTTTTATCTGAATTAAAGTTCACCAACAGCTGAGAGTCCCATTCTGTAGCAGGCGTGAGATCCTTTTCTTTGAATTTTTGATTGAAGCAATCAAATAGTGTTGGCTTCTCATTAAGACAAGAATAAATGGTAGTATCATCAGAGAACAATGCCACCATAGATGTGAGAATTTCAGAAAGATCGTTATTGTAAATTAAAATAAGTATAGGGCCAAAGATAGAACCTTCAGGAACCCCTTAAGTCACAGGAATTTAAGAAGGTACTGTCCATCAAGGAAAAAATTTATACTACAATTGGTAAGGAAGGATTCAATAGTCTTAAAGATGTTACCTGATACATCATAAAAATAGAGTTTATGGAGAAGACCAGCATGCCAAACTTTATCAAAAGCTTTAGAAATGGTGAGAGCGATAGCTTTAACCTCTCCACATCTATCTAATGCATAATAAAACCTATCAATTATTATCATTAACAAATCAGCAGTAAAATGAGAAAATCAAAATCGATATTGATGATTGGAAAGTAAGTTATTTGATTCAAAATGTTAAGTGTTTATTAATTAAAGAATCAAAAACCTTGCTTATGATAAGAAGAATAATAATTGAACGGTAGTTAGATTAGCCAGATCGCTCTCCAGAATTTTTGAAAATAGGAATAACAGATACCGCTTTCCAGCTGGCTGGAAATCAAGACTCTGATAAGTACATGTTAAATAGTTTTGAAAGTGAACAGATGTGTTGTACAGACCACAAGCTGTAGAAGAGTCTAAGCTGGAAATCACTTTAGATACAGAAGCTGGAGTGATATAATTGTCAGGCAGTGGCTCAACCTGTTTGTCGGCTAAATCAGGTAAGATCTGATTAGTGGAATCAAGAGATGAGATTGATGAAAAGTTCTTAGCAAATAATTCAGCATTGTCTTTAGGTGAGGTAACAAAATCTAAACCATGCAAGAAAGAAGGAATAACAGATTTTCCCTTATTATAGACACTGTTAAAGACTCTTTAAAAGTCTCTGGAATTTTTGAGATGAATTATAAGATTTTGTGACCTGAAAATCTAACATTAGATAAAACCTTTTTACAATGTTTTCTAGCAATAGTTAACAGACATCTGGCTTCTCGAGAATTGTTTTGGCGATAAATATGGAAGTAATGGTTACAATTGGATATTGCAGCAGCACAATGAGAAGAAAATCATTGAGAAGAGTGAAGCTTGACTTAAAATTGTCAAGAAGGAATAAACTCTCTAAGAGCTACCACAGAGTTTGAAACCTGACTACCAGCCAGCCTCAGAACCATAAAACTGAGATTAAGAGTTGCATTTTCATTAGGAGATAATAGAATAAGTTACCTAGTCATAAAAACTGAGACACAAGCAAAACCCATGCAATGAGTCAAGATGATCCAGCTTTCAACATTCTAAACTGAAAACAATGCATGTACAAATACATCTATGCCAGCCTAATAGATGGAGAAGGGGTGTGAAACTGGTCAACAGATAGAATCTGTTTATCCTTTAAGTCTTTGCTTAGGAGGCCTTCTACAAGACAGTTGCCAAATTTTAACATCTGCTCAAGATGAGTATTTTTATCGAGTCACCATCTCTAACCTTTACTCAACAAAGAGCCCCAAGGTAGGGGGTGTTTTAAGTCAAAGTTGGCATCTCCTAGCCTTTGCCTAAAAAAGTATACCCTACAAGGCAGCATGACATGAAACGGTTGCACTGCGTTACAAGTTACCAGTAGCAGGATAACCCGACCTAACAGCAATGTATCACATATAAATGTATCAAAATACAGCCGAGGCCATAAGTTTAAATCCACTTCCACTTTTTTGAAAATAAATGACAGATTTTAGAGTAAAATAAACATTTTTTTCAATAGAATTTCATTTTATAAAATCATAACAAATAAATTTATTATAATTTTAGTATTTTCTCCTCCTTTGGCCTTCTTTGCATTTCTTTGCTTCATATTACCAATTAATTTTTCACAATCTGCCTGTGTGATTTGCCCATTCAAGAGCAATAACATCTATCAAATGTTTTTTTGTAAGCACTAGACAAGCTGGTAAAAATGCCTCACTTGGTTACTAAAAATGCCTCACATACGTTACTAAAAGAAATTCTAAAGAACGTAGTTATTTACCTCAAAGTTGGATTTATAGTTAACTCAAAGTTGGATTCATCAGACCAGATTACTTTACTGACCAGATTACTCAATACTGCAGATGTCCAATCTTTGTGATCGCCTATTCTAGTCTTTTGATCTTTTTTTTTTTTTGAGATGTTTTTTTCTTGCCTTGCAGTCTTTCAATTCACCATCTGTCAATCTTCTTCTAACAGCTGGGTTTACAACAATTTTCCAAAGCCATTTGTGATATCATTCGGTATTCGTGAGCTGAAGTTTTCTTTTTTTTTCTAGTTCGGCATCTAATTTTAAGACTCCTAAAAGTTTTGTGTTGTTTTAAAGTTAGTTGCATTGCACTATAGGAACATTTCAATATTTTTGCAATATTTCGCACACTTTCTGCTTTAGAATGCAAAAGAATTTTACTCAATGAAAAATATTTTTCAATAAAATTTTCACAAGAAAAAATCACTATTTTTGTTTTTTTGTTTTTATGTTAATTCAAATAGTATTGGAAATCCCAGTAATAAAATATAACTGTAGGGATTCCCTGATAAAATATAACTTGAGAGATTCCCTGATTCTTAATTAAAACAAATTTATTGATTAACCCGGAATAATTATATATTTAAAGTATATTATTTGTTATTTTTATCCAATATTTTAATTGGATTTAAACTCCACAGCTGTATAAAAGTTTGAACAAAAAAAATTTTAACTTGTTTTAGTTATATTATTTAATTAATAAGTTTGAAATTTTATTGGCGAGAAAAATATTTTTGAACCAATCCAGTTACTGGTTATGAAAAAATGTATATCAATTATTCTTGCCAAAAATTGCCATGGTGTTAATGTTTTAGTAGTGTATTTTTATGTTTAGTTTGTTTATGTTTTTCAGATTATATGGTTGTTTATATAATTGTTGGATCACTGGCATTTGCAGCAACTCTTGGTGGACTTATTTGGGTTGTGTTTGCTTTTACCAGAAAGTATGTTTTGTTGGTTGTTTTTCTTCTTTTTTTTTTTTTTAAGCTTTTACTTTTTGTCAGTTTTTATTATAATGCATGTAATTCTTTAAAGGCAACGCATTAAGAACTCACACCAGAGATTACTGGATGAAGAAGACGATGAACCAGATGAAGTTCTACATAAAAGAAGTAAATGAATTTTTTTTTATAACTTTATTTTTGTTTATACCAGTGCAGATCGCACTATATATAAAAAAATATATATCAAAGAAAAAAATAGTTTTCATACAAATAAATTTATCAATTTTTTCTTAAAAAAATGGATAAGTTTTAAGTTTAATTTTAAGATTTTTAAAGCTGTTTTTACGCTTTAAACCGTTTTTACGCACGTTTCTAGATAAGGTCCAAAAATGCATCGTAAACGTAGTTCTACGACCCGGTCTATCTGCCAAGCTTGAGCCTCTTTCCTATCGTCATAAAGTTGCATCTCTTCTCTACAACTACTATCATAGCCGCTGCTCAAAGGAGCTTTCATCTCTAGTTCCATCAAATAAAACTCATTCTCGTCTGACTCGTCATTCATCAAAGTTTTATTCTTATACTGTATCTTTTCATGCATGCTCCAAAAACTTTTATTTATCTAGCTTTTTTTACGCACTTCAACCCTTTGGAACACTCTCCTATCTTCATGTTTTCCTGACTCATACAACCTTCAACTTTTGAAGTCTTCTGTCAACTGTTTCCTTGCTCTATAACTCTATTCTTTTTTTCTAGTAACTCACAATTTAAAAGTGGTTGCTTGCAGCCTTGTTGGGAGTGAATCAGAATTAAAAAAAAAAGAACGAAATAAAAATCTTTAAATTTTTTCATTTGAACACAACTTTTTTATTTCACGCGATTTGTTTTTTGATTTATTATAAAAGTTATTTCCATTAAAAATAGTTTTTCTTTTAACTTTTACTGTAGGTATTTTATATAAAAATGATTATTTGTTTACATATTTAGCATTGAGAGCACCTAGACATCGTCAACAAAGATACTAGATCTTATTATATAAAAAATTTAAAGCTTTGAAAAAACCAAGTGATATGTGACAAGTTTGTATACATCAAGATAAGAATAAAATTCTTCGGTTTTCAACTGTTGCGTTCATGGAATATCAAAAAACATATTATGTTTTCCCGGAATGTTTGCTAGTGACAACAATAAGAAAACTTTACGCCTTGAAGTTGGCATCGAAGTGCAGATAACGCAGTTGCCGTTGTACAAATAACCACTTTTTTATTTAAACTACCTGATTTTACTTTTTAAAGATGATTTCGAATTGTAATTTAATTACATCGTTCGCTCGTTTTGTTCAGTTAGAAATTTATTTTTATACTATATAGAAACATATTTTTTAACATGCACCTCTTGTAAATATGATATAAAATGTATGAAATTTAAAAAAAAATGCGTCTGATTAATTCCAATTATCGCATGTATATACTTCGCTTGTTGACTTAAATAGGGGAAGTTCGCCTACCTAGAGCTGGATTTTTTTAATGTTCGAACTCAAGGCCCCAGACTTTTTAAAAATGGTAAATCTGACCACACCTCTATGCTAATTACTTTGTATTAGTTTAAGTATATTGATATAAACTACTAAAGTCCGTCATGTAGAAGGGTTTAAAAGTGGCCCTAGGTACAATAAGCTTTTTTTTTTAATTGTACCTAGGGCCGCTAGCTATTGTACTTAGAGCTGCTCTCTAAAAATTAGATTTAATTCCATAATAAATTGACAACAAAGATAAACCCATAAGTTTGATTAAAACTTAATTTAATCTTTTAACAAATTTATCTAGTGTTATAGCAGCACTTAAATAATTAACAATTGGTTATGAGCAAAGTTAACAAATACGCGTCTACGCGTAAAATGGTAATCTCAAAAGAACCGCGAGAAAAAAAATATTCTGTACCAATCAAAATTCAAAATCAACCTCGCCATCAAGTAAATTCTGCATCACATATGGCCCTAGGTACAAGCAAACAATATGGAAAAATAGGATTAAAAAAATAAAATCTCAAAATAGGATTAAAAAATAAAACTTTTTATAACTAGCATTCCAATCAATCTAAAATCAAATAATGAATTTATTACAGATAAATTTTTAATTGTAGAACAATTTAATTAGTAGTTCGTTAATGTAGGTTCTAACTTAGCATCAAAAATTGAAACCTCAGAAGTAAAATTCGAATCTTTTTTAAATTCTCATAATACCAATATATTAGACAATAGTGAACTTACAGAAAGAGAACTGTTAAATGCAATATTTTTGTTAAAACCTAAAAAAATTTAGGGTATGATAAAATCAGTAGTCGAGTCATTATAAAATCAATAAATTATATGACTATTCCACTAATGCTCATTTTTAATTTATCTTTAAAACAAGGCGTTTGTCCTGAAAAACTTAAAATTGCAAAAGTTGTACCAATTTCAATTTTCGTTTCTCAAAAATACGAGAAAGAATTATGCACCATATTGTTTTAAATAGAAATAATATTTTTTACAACAAACAACTTGGATTTAAGTCAAGACATTTCACTGACCATGCGATTATTCACCTTATTTATGACATACTTAAAGCATTTGATGAAAACAAATATACAGTAGGAATTTTCAGAGATCTCAGCAAAGCGTTCAATACAGTTGATCATAACATTCTTTTAGCTAAACTAAAACAATATGGCATAAAAAACTCAATATATATCGTATAACGAATGAAAATCAAAATATATGACAGTCTCGCGCGGTGTTCCTCAAGAATCAATACTCAGACCAGTACTCTTTCTTGTTTATATAAACAACTTACATAAGTTTTCTAATATTTTAACTACAATTTTATTCGCTGATGACACAAACTTATTTTACTCTAATAGTAACATCGACTTGTTATTTGAAACAGTCAATATTGATTGTTTCAAATAACAAGTTTAATTTTTAAGCTCCTTATATAAGGAACTTAAAAATTTAACTGAACGGTTCAAGTCGAATTAACTGTCCTTAAATATAAATAAAACCAAATACACTCTTTTTCATAGACTCCACAAAAAAAAAATTCCATTAAAACTTCCCTTTCTATGTATTGATAATTCTAATATAAAAAGAAAGCACTCGTGCGCGGTCTTAGGAGTATTTCTTAACGAAAATCTTTTATTACACGAACACATAAGTATAATAAAAAACAAAATATCAAAATATATTGGCTTATTATATAAAGCTAAAAGGTTTTTAAAGCAAATCTGTTTAAAAAACATATATTTTTCTTATATTCACAGCTACCTTAATTATGAGAATGTTGCTTGATGCAGCAACAACGCAATCAAAATAAAAACTATACTCAGAAGGCAATAAGATGCTATACGAACTATTTCAAACGTAAATAGTTTAACGTTCCCAAAAGGTTTATTTAATAAACTAAATATACTCAATGTTTATCAACTAAACATTTATCAGGTACTTACTTTTATGTACAAAATTGATAATAAATTGACACCAATATGACAGCAAAATGAGACCTCTTATATCTAATGTCCTTTTTAACAATATAAATCATTTTTACTCTATTAGATTTTCAAATTAGAACTACATTCAACCCAAAACCTATTATACGATCACCTCTATTGCTAAATTACGGAATTCTAAATTTAATAACGATATCAAAACTACTAATTCTTTTCATACATTTAAAATAAAACTTAAACAAAAACTTCTTACTATCGACAATGTTATTAAAGTTACTTCTTAATATCTGGGCCGACGACACTGGGGAATCAGAGGAGCACGTTATCCCCTCCCCCCCCCCCCCACTTTTTTTCTCGAGGACCTTTTTTTTTTTTTTAAGAAATTTTTTTTTTTTAAAAGAAAACTTTTGATATAGAGGACTTTTTTTCGAAAATTGATGATTGTGCCCTCCACTTCAAAATCCGTGTCGTCGGCCCTGGTCTTAGATTATCTTATTCTTATTTAGTTATTTACGTAATTATTTTATTTCTTATTTTTTATATTTATATATATTTTTTTATAGATACATGTTTCTTTTTTTGTTTTTTGTTTTGACTATGTTTTTATTTTATTTTATACTACTTTTTTTATTTTTTTATATATGTACTCTTTTTTTTTTCCCTTATGCGAACAAGCCGCCTGTTCTTAGCCTTTTTCTGTTCTTGTTTTTATTAACTTAAACAGTGTAAAAATAACTCTTGATCCTATTAATAATTATTGATCAAATGGTTCTTTTTATAACTTTTTATTTCAAATCAACTATTAATAAAAGTTGACTTGAACAAAATTGAGTACAATTCTCAATTTTATTTTTTGTACATCTTGAGATTTTTATCCTCTCACATTTATCCTCTCAATGAGAAGCATTACTATGAACTTTTCAAAAAAAAGTGGGGTGGCCCTAGGTACACGAACTTCCCTACTTCGTTTGTTGACGTAATTGTGTGTTGACGCTAGCATAATGCGTTTGATTTGGGCACGAAAACATTTTCTAATATATCTAAATGTTTTACATGTTTCTAATTTCTTTTACTTTTTTGCAGTAAATTTTTCTTTTTTTAAAGTTGTTTTTTAGTCTTCTTAAAAATGCTTGAAATTAAAAATATTTTTCTGATAAAATACTTTGTTAAAAAGATGTTCTTATTTTATGCAACCAAAATTTAGCAATAAAAATCGATAACGTGTTTCAAAAATTGAGTATTTTGTGGCAAAATGCTGAAAGCTAAAAATACGAGTTTAATAAATTTGACATTACTTTCCAATTTTTACATATTTTGATTACAGCCCTTAACTATTTTTTAGTAAGCTTAATTTTGTTCAAACTTTGTTTTGCGCAGACGTTTGATAATTTAGCAAAAAGAAACCAAATGTTTTAAGTGAGCCTAATATGCACCAACTTTTTTTTCATCATTTAAATTTCGTTTTTTACAACGTTTATTTAAAGCATAGTCGTCTACAGAAAACGCTACGTAAATATCATCAAATATTCTAGCACTTTTTACAAAGAAATTACACTGCATCATTCCAAATTGACTTTCTGAATGGTCATTTGCTACAATAAAAGACTTGGAATATTTCTGAAAGCTTTTAAATACAACACTAAAGGAAAAAAGCAATTTTTTGCTCCCCTAGTCCAGCAATTTTATTGATATGGGATAAACAATACTAAATGATATTATTGAACTTTTTATAAATGATTTATCTCTTACCTCAAACTTATTAAGTTTTATTTTGTTTGCGGATGTTTCCAATCTGCTTTATTCTCATAGTGATAAACCATCTTTAAAGTAGTTCATGAAAAGTAAACAAAGTAAACAAATGGTTTATTAGTAATAAACTTTCACTTAACGTTAACAAAACTAAGTTTATTGTATTTCACAAACCTACTTAAACAGACAACCTTCATTTAAAATTACCCAACCTTAAAATTAATGATATAAATATTACAAGATAAACATCTGTATACATTTTTCAACTTTTAATAAACATTTCAATGAAATGTAAAACAAACCATTTTTAGATATAAAGTCTTAAAAAAATATTTTATTTTTACTTTATACATAACTATTTAACTCGCGGCAATATTGTATAGGCAAGCACCAGATACGCTAAGTTAAAAAAAATTAATACTAAAAAAACATGCATGGAGAATCGTTTTTGGAGCAACAAGAACCGTGTCTTGTCACTTCTAAGTAAACTCAATTCATCAAATGTGTTTAAAATCAAATATGTTTAAAAGTTGTGAAAAAACAAGTTACATAAAATAAGACAATCAACTAATCTTCTGTTAAAGTTGCCAAAACTGTCAATCAATAAAAATGAAATCAATCGAGTAAATCATACAAAGCTTTTGGGAGTAATATTTAATGAGAACCTATCATGGAAAAAACATATTAGTCTCATTGAAGCAAAAATATCTTCTGCTATAAGTGTATTATATAAATCTAGGGGTTTTCTTGATTATAATTCACGCAAAATTCTTTGCTTCAGTCTTGTTTATTGTCATCTCTCCTAAGCTAATATTGTTTGGGCCAACACACACAAAACTTAGTTATTAAGATTACAGAGCCTACAAAACCACGCATGTAAAGCAGTTAACTATTTAAAGAGATTAGAAAACCCTTCCCCTGTTATGAAATACATAAATGTGTAAATATATCAAATCTTAATTTGCTTCAAATATTAATATTTATGTATAAATATAAGAGTTACTTGCTGACAAAAGAGTTCTTCCATCGTGACAATCACGAAACAATACATCCAGTATATTTTATATTCAAGATTAAAGTTTTATTTTCTATTGCAAAGCCTAAGTTATTTCAAAGTAAACTGAATGCAAGGCCGGATTAAAGCGGGGGCTGATGAGGATACAGCCCCAGACCTTTGGAAAAATAGGCGC